CATCGCTCATATTTATTCACAAATCTATTTACTATTGTCACATGTAAACATCACTTTTTTGATTCAAAATATCAGGGCATTTCCACCAGACCATCCAGGTTAAATATTAATAATTTGCACTAGAGACTGTTTTGTTCTCTCTGAAGTAAAATCATGCTTTCCATTTGCAATCAAGTACTGATGATTTCAAAGATTAGTAATGCATGCGATTAGTAATGTGGACCATGACAGAATTGACAATGTGGCATTTCATGTCTGATTAATGAATGATAAGGTTAGGCGTACCATTGTGCGCCTATCCTCTAGTGTTTCCACTGAAGCCCACGAGGACAGCTTGTAGTTCTGCTGTAGTGACATCAGGTACCTGGACTGTGGTGGCATAGCAAGTGGCTCTGCTTTACATTGTGTGCATACTTAAAATTATCCTTAGTAGCTTATAATTAAATAAAAATTATCAGTAACAGTTTATAGTTTAAACTGATAATTTGATGATTGCTTATTTACTTTTATTTTAATTACTTTTAATAGTTTATCATTTAAGTAAACTATTCTTAAATGTTTATTCAGTAGTAGCTAGATGATTAATCCCAGCAGGCTGTCTGAAATCAGAGCAAGTTGGAACCACAGTGAAGGAATTGGCAGGGGGAAGGAGTGGAGACACCGACAGTGAGAAGCAGGTGTAGGGATAGGCAGTCAGTGCTTGTGTTCTTCTTTAGTATGTTTTAAGGCAAAGAGTCATGTACTGCTTGACTCTAATTACTCGAGTTTCTGCAGCTTTAGTGTGAGTGTTGGTCTTGGCTTTTAGGACGAGGCATGTGGAGGCTCACTGGAGGCCTCTGTGTCCTGTGCCTTCTTCACTCTGGTGTATAAGTCCACGGAGTCATGCCTCAGGCCAGTAATGAGAGCACTGGGGTTCCTGTCAAAGTAAGGTTATCCTTTAGTCATTGTCAAAATGCCTTTCACAAAACCATTTTAAATTTATTCATGTATTTGTGACCTAGGGCAGGATCTCTAATATCAGAGATTACAGAAGGAAAATAGATAAACTCTGGCAATTAAGGCAGAAAGAAGTGTGAGGAAGGTTCTTAGGAACATGCCGGAGAAGACTGCCTGTTGTGTGGATAAATAAAGAAAGGCTTCTGGGGCAGTAGAAATATTGGCTGAGCTGTTTTAAAACAGGATTTGACCAAATAAAGTGAATAACCTTCCAAATATTATATAAAGGCCACAGCCCAAGGAATTGTGACTTGGAAAGTTGGTGGCTAATTCCATAGACACCAACAGAGTGCACAGTGTTTGCAGGATCAGAACCCTGCATCCTGTTACCATGAACACCTTGACTGTTGTTATGGCCCTTTGTTTCCTCAGACTAAACTGTCTCCTGATCTATGCAATTTCCCTATTTGTTTTTCTTTTCTTTGTGTGTGAGTGGTTCACCTGGATGTGTGTAAGTGAGCCTGTGCCCACAATCTCCTGAAACTGGAGTTACAGCTGGTTTTAAGTTGCCATATGGGTGTTAGCAACTGAACCGAAGTCCTCTGGAAGGGCAGCCAGTGTCCTTAACTTCTGAGACGTCTCCCCAGTCTTCATTGGTCATTTTTAATAGACAGTGTGTACTTCCTTCTCCCCACCAAACTACTACTCTGAACAGCTGGTCTCTTTTCATTCTGGCCTCATCTCATCTGTCACCACCTTAGTGGCTTGGCCTGACAGCTTCAGCCAGCCCATCTCTCCACTCTATTGATTTCTTCAGGATGGAAACTGTGTGGCTAGACTGGATGTGAGAACACTTGTTTATCCCCCAAAACACAAATACTCAAAAATATTTGAGTCAGTGAACAGGTGTTCTCATGGAACTGCAGTAGGTGAGTCTTTGTGGACACCTGAAGTTGGTTCATTTGGTGAGGACGGCTTCTGACTGGAACACAGCTTACCCTAAAGCTACCTCAAGGCTGGGTTGGAGAGGTTCATAAAATGAAGAAAGCATGTGCACCAAATGATGGGCTTAGCTTCTTAAACAAATAGAAGACTTGCAAAGGGACATAGGGAGCTTCTAAATTAGGGTCTGGTTGACATCTGATGCCATTTGGAGACTGAGCTAACATTGTTCTGAAAGTCATAGAATAAAATTATGTCACCTCTAGGACTCCACATGACATCAGAAAGCCTAGCCTTTTCATTTAAGAAAGATCAAATCTTCTTCACCTCCATAATTCATATGTTACCTATAAATAATCTAGCTCATTAGACCTGGCTCAAATGCCAGGTACAACTTTGAAATTTTACAGATTTTGGTATGTAGAGTTAAATCCTTGAAACTTGTCGTTATATTTAACTAATTTATCCTGGTAAAGTGTTAATATTTTCACTTAAGCTTAGGGTATAATGAACTTACTATGAGTTTCATCGTAGCCACACTACAAATAGAGAAACAGCATGTGACATGAAAAGGTATTGCTGTTAGCTTTAGCAAGCGTACAGGGAAATAGAAAATGACTGAGTGATGAGTCAGTCGGCATTCCCTTCAACTGGTGTTTTTGTTTTTTTTTGTTTTTGTTTTTTTTTTTTTAATTCCCACCATTCTTTTCCTTCTGCCTTCAGGAAAGAAATAGATCCTGCAAAGCCACAAAACAAAAAAAAGTCACTTGTCTAATGAGGATAGTCCCAACTAATTGCCACAGTGTTATTTAAGGTTGTGAACTGATCGCGTAGCTCATTGGACTAAGGGTAGCTGTACACATTGTGATGTAGCTCAGCTGTCCTCTGCTCATAGTGCCGGCGCTGATGTCATTGTTTGTTTGGTTTTTGAAATTGGTTGCATGTAAATAAATACTTACCTAACAGCCTTGAATAACACTTATAAAACCACCCAGCAATCCCACTCTGTAGACATTTAAGGAATAGTTATTAACCAGTGAACTTTTTAAATATTTTCAATTTAGTTGTAAGTTATAGGAGAGGCAAAGTAGCGGTGAGATAAATAAAGATAAATTTGATTTTATTCATTTTATGTGATAGGAAGTACAAAAAAATTAAATAGTATCTGCTTACCACGATTATAACTATACAGTGATTAGGGTTTGAAACAATGGCTGTGGGAGCGTGGTTTTACTCAAGATAAATCTTTGAAATTTGAGTTTTGGAATTTATCCAGAAAAATAATATTATCTAGATCATATTAATGATGAATATAAATAATAGGTTAAAATGGTGATGAAGCATAGACTTTGTTTATTAATTCATTTGAAGGACAGTATAACATTTTTCTAGTGTTGTGGACACTGTTCAAGACACTGTTGTAGATAGAGCAACATAGTTAAAAAGGCTTCATGGAAGCTATATTTTGATGGAACAGACCATGAGCAAAATAAATTCATTTTAAATCATAAGAACTATAGGAAAATAAAGCAACAGGAAGGTAGGATACATGAGGGTATATTTTTACAATATTATCGTACATAGGAACATAAACACACAAACATACACATATATTTTTTATTTCCCCACATTTTCTATACTTTAAATAGGTATATAACTAAGAAAAAATTAATTATTTGCCCCAATACTTATATTTATTTATAAGGTATCTAACTAACTGCTTATCTAACTAACTAAATCTCAGTAAAATTTATTGTTGTTTACTATAAAATAATTTAAAATTTTTATTTTTATTATTCGTGTATGTATTTTGGTGCATGCCCCAAAAGGGAAATATCACAGTGGACAATCATAATGATCTGCTGACATCAATAATTATAATGGGTAGCTCTTAGGGTTCTGTGGACAAGGAATTTCTTGATTATAGAGTTATCTGCGGGTTAGGTATGTCTTTGTGTCATGGATGTGGAATCCAGCATGCAGAGGTAAATGCTGGTGCTTGAGCTCCAGACCTGGCCCTGTTACCATTACGTGTCGTTACATGCTGCGTATGGTAGATGTGAAGACTTAGAAATCCCACACATGTGAAGAAAGTAGGATTCCACCATGAAAAAGAAATATTCCAACCTTAATGTAAACGTTTTTCTTTAAAACTAAAGCATTGTAAATGAGGGGCTGGAGATCCCGATGAGCATGCTCTTTAGAGAGCACAGGTTTGGTTCCCATCATCCACATCAGGAAGCTCACACTGCCTGTCACTCCAGCTCCAGGGAATATGGCATTCTATTCTGGCCTCCTCAGGGACCTGCACTCATGCGTACTTTCCCACAGATACGCCTTTCATTGAATGTATAAACGAAGAGATTTTTAAAAAGCACGTAGATGATTTTTGAATGATTTGCCTGCCACATATTAAATAACTTCATACAAACAAATATCAAGTTAAGGCAAATATAAAGAAATATACCCATATTGTGATATATGAAAAGATATATAGGTGCAGCTTTTAAAGTATAGGTCTAGGTTCCAGACACTAGATCAATCATTTAGTTTTATCATGACCAATATGGGGAGTGAGGATAGGTGTCCCATGTTGTGGTTCTGGGAACATAAGTATTAAAAAGGCAAGCCGCAGCCCTCGCAGCTGTGCTAGGAAACATTAAGGCCTATAGGAAAATTTTTGAGTGACTCTTTTCCCAGTTGTTGAGTGGTTTGTAGCTAGTCCAATTCTTGATGCATCCTTGAAAGGGCAGTATGTTATGTACCGCAGCTATCTGAAGCCATAAAACTTTCTGGGGAGCATTTGTTGAGAAGCCTTATTAGGACTAAGGTAGAAACTGCACAGAAGTTTAGAGAAAACTTTATGGCAACTGTCCATAGGAAACAAAATAAGAACCAGGAGGAGGTTAAGGAGTCATGTGGATCATGCTCATTTTTATTGTAGTTTAATCTTCAGCAAACTATGTTTGAGCTTAATCACATTAAAAATTCCACATAGAATTCTTCCATTACGTGCTATATAAATTTTTAGATGATAATGTCACTGAATAACTGGATGATACAGCAGAAAAGGTAGTGTCCACTCTAACATCTGTGATCCATGGTATTGTTTCTGTTTCCAGGGAACCTTTCATTATTTTGTCGGGGGGCTTGTCATATGACACTGTGGGAAGAAGGCCTTGCTTAACAGTGATGCACGGAAAAAGCACAGCTGTGCTGGAAATGGACTATTCAATTGTTGACTTTCTCACCCTCTGTGAAACACCATACCCAAACGGTAAGAGTCACTCTTCATAAATATTAATATTCAAAAAAGACATATGCTGTCTTAAGTAGTTTCCACATACTAATGTCCTAATGCTTTAAGGGAAGATTTCCTTCTGTCATAACATGGCCGATTTTATTTCATCTCTTTTTTTTCAATATACTTTATCTCGTCTGTATTGTACATTAATATTAAATACCTTCCTAAAGTAGACACTGCCCCTATTAAGTATTTTCAATTTTGTGGCACAGTAGTGCATCCTATTAGCTATATTTCTCCAGAGAAATGGAGACGATATAGGTTTGTGTGTGTATATGAAGGACTTGGTTGGGGGTGAATAACAGTCTAAAAATTCCAGAGTGAGTTCAAGTCATGGTTCGGGAACCTTGGGGAGGAATTGTGGGTTTAAACCTCACCCAGAAGTATGTCTTTGAAGGAAAGCTGCCTTTTCCTTTAAGGCCTTCACCTGATAGGTTTAGGCCAGCCAGCCCAGCCATTCAGAGAAAACACTTTCTTCAGTTTACCAGATCAAATGTTAGTCATTTCTAAAAGTTTCCTTCATGACGGTCAGCATCTAGACTAGTACTGGTCAGCATCTAGACTAGTACTGGTCAGCATCTAGACTAGTACTGGTCAGCATCTAGACTAGCACCGAAGCATAGACAAGTTAACGCAGAGAATGAACTCAAATGTGTATCTTTTCATTTCATTTGGATCTCTGAAGTTTAAAGATGTAATGAATACATTTTATAGTGACTAAGGGACACATATTAACATTTGAAAAAGATAACAGAGCTCTATCAGTTTATCTGAGAGTCCATAATGGAATTAGTCAGGATTAAATTGTGGTTTTGATGTCTTTGCCACATTCCTGAAATAAGTAATGTCACAGAAGTTTCTTTGATGTTCTTGTTTTACTCATATGTGCAAGAATTTTGAATGGATTATTTTGTAAATGTATCTCATCCAAGAAATATAAATTGTATGAACTATCCTGGGCTCATCAGAATGCTAAACACTCGGAAATTGGAATAAGGAAAAGAAGCCAGAAATGCCCATTATCTGTGACTGCCCTCTTATGTCTGTAAAGCAACCAACTGGTCATTCATTACTCTCATATTTTAGATTTTCAAGAACCGTATGCTGTGGTTGTTCTTCTGGAAAAGGATTTAGTACTGATAGACCTTGCACAAAATGGGTAAGAACACTGGGTGAGCAATTCTATTACTATGTGTGTGTGTCGGGGGGATTAAAACCTATAGGATCTTTTAGCATGTCATTAGCTATTACTTTCCTTTGAAAACTTCATATTTACATACATGATCTCTTTTCAGTGCTCCAGATCCACATTTCTATAATCTTAAATTTATTTATTATAATGAATCTAATAGATTTTTGTTTCTTATTTTCCTTTTATTGAAAATAGATGTTACCCCCTGTGTTAATATATCCTGATTACAGTTTCTCCTCCCTCTGCTCTCACTTTCTCCCCTCTTCATCTCCCATCCAGATCCTCTCCCTTTCTGTCTCTAATTAAAAAATAAAAGATCTTTTAATTTAAGGGAAATAATAAATATAATAAGATAAAACAAAATCTAACAACACATTGTAATTGTACAAAACAAACAGAAGGATAAGAACCCAAGAGAAGGCAGAAGAAAGTGACCCACTTCCTCACATACTCACGAATCCCATATAGAACACTAACTGAAAGCTGTAGTTTATTCACACAAGACCTGAAGGGTAAAAAGAGAGAAAATATACAAATAAAATATAAATAAAATAAGTTAAAATTAATAGACACAAACAATAGAATAGAACAAAGACCAAAAAAGAAAACCTCAACACGTCATTATGAGACAGATATACTGATGAGCTTGTTTTTTGAGGCCATCGAGTCATTTGCAGGTATTCATAACTGGTGATGGCTTCTGTGTTAGTGGTGGACGCCTGTGTCCATTTCCCTTGCAGCTCTGGGACCTCATGTGGTGTAGAGCTGCGCAAGCCTTATGTGCCTGCCCCTCCCCCTCCGTGTGTGCATTAGTCATGTTGGTTTAGAGAGCCTGTTTCCTTAGTGTCCTGCATTCCCTCGGGCTCTTTAACACTTTCTGCCTCTTCTTCCCTTGGGTTCCCTGAGACATGAGGGGAGGAACTTGGTGGAGACAACCCATTGAGGGCTAGGTGAGGTCTCTCATTTTCTGCATAGTGTCTGCCTGTGGGTCTCTGTGTTTCTTCCCACCTGCTGCAGGAGGAAGCTTCTCTGATGATGGCTAAGCAAGACACTCTTCTATGAATACATAAGAATGTCACTAAGAATAATTTTATTGCTACTTTTTTATAGACTAGCATTATTTGATTTTACACTAGGTCCTTGGGCTATGTGGTCTCAATACCGAGTATGAGTTCCACTTTGTGCAGTGTGGTCCTTCAGTTCAATTAGATGCTGATTGGTTATTCCCAACCCATTTGCCACCACTGCCCTTGTGTGGTTCACAGGCAAGACCGATTGTAGACCAGAGGGTTTTGTGGCTGGTTGCTGTTTATGGTTTCCCTTTGGTAGCCTGCAGAGTACCTTCCCATACCAAAGGCTTTAGCACAGAGAGGTGAGGGCTCTGTGTAGGCACCAGTTCAGCTTCTCCATGGGTCAATGACCCTGCGACGGGAAGGGTGATGCTTAACTCAAAGTTTCTAGAATTTCTTACATTTCAGCTTCATGCTAAAGCCATACACAACAAGCCTGTCCAAAATGGGCCATCTCAGTGTCTCTCTGATGAACTCTTTAGCCTTGTTCCCTCCGTTCAGTCTGTTGCGATGGGTGCAGGTCCCTGTCAGCTTAGCTGTGACTTACGCCATGATCCTTATTACTCTAAGTTAAACCTTTGTTTGCTATTCTTGTTTTACCTTCTCTGCCTGCTGATATAAAAAGACCGTGGTGGTGTTTCTCACCTGCTCTCTTCCTGTCTCCCCATAGTGGCCTTAATTTATGGGATAACACCTTATATATTTTTGAGACAGAGTTTCTCTGTGTAACTTTGGAGCCTGTCCTGGAACTCGCTCTGCAGACCAGGCTGGCCTTGACTCACTGACATTCACCTGCCTCCCTAGTAGTGGGATTGAAGGTGTGTGTGTACCACCACTGACTGGCCAGCTGCTTGATTTTTTTTCTTTATTTTTAAAAAATTTTTTATTTAAATTTTTTTTTTATTTTACATACCAACTATAGTTCCCCTTCCTTCCCCTCCTCCCACTGCTGTCCCCCACCTTCCTCTAACACAACCCCTCATCCACTCCTCAGAAAGGATAAGGCCTCCCATGGGGGGTCTACAAAGTCTAGCATATCAAGTTGACACAAGACCAAAATCCTTCCCCCTGTATCTAGGCTGAGTAAGGTATCTCTTCTTAGGGAATGAACTCCAAAAAGCCAGGTCATGCACCAGGGATAAATCCTGGTCCCACTGCCAATGGCCCCACAGACTGCCCAAGCAACAGAACTGTCACCCACATTCAGAGGGCTTAATTAGGTCCTAGGCAGGATCCCCAGTTGTCAGTGCAGAGTCAGTGAGCACTGCTAGCTCAGGTCAGCTGTCTCTGTGTGTTTCCCCATCATGTTCTTCACCCTTTGTTCATATAATCCCTCCTCCCTCTCTTTGACTGGATTCGGCCCAATGCTTAGCTGTGGATCTCTGCATTTGCTTCCATCAGTTACTGGATGAAGATTCTATGATGACAATTAGGGTGGTCATCAATATGATTACAGGGGAAGGCCAGTTCAGTCACCCTCTCTATTATTGCTTGGAGTCTTAGCTGGGGTCATCCTTGTGGATTGCTGGGAGTTTCTCTAGCAACAGGTTTCTCCCTAACCCTATAGTGGCTCCCTCTATCAAGAGATCTCTTTTCCTTGCTCTCCCTCTGTTCCTCCCCCAACTCAACTGCCTCCGCAGTACCCTTTACTCCCATCCCCCACCCAGTGTGCTCAATTTAATCAGGAAATGTTACCTATTTCCCCTCCTAGAGACATCCATGCATTTCTCTCTTAGTGTCCTTCTTGTTACCTACCTACTCAGGGGTTATGGTTTGTAGCCTGGTTATCTTTTTCTTTACATCTAAAATCCACTTATGAATGAGTACATACCATATTTGTCTTTCTGGGTCTGGGGTACCTAACTCAGGATGGATTTGCCTGAAAATTTCTTGATGTCATTGTTTTTTACTGCTGTGTAGTACTCCATTGTATAAATGTACAGTATTTTCTTTATTCATTCTTCAGGTGAAGGGTATCTAGGTTGTTTCCAGGTTCTGGCTATTATGAATAATGCAACAGCTTGATGGTTAACATACCTTATGTTTCATATCTTCCCCTACACAGTTTCTGGCAGCTGGGACTCTTTGCTTGTTTCACTGTGGTTAGAATCCACACAATTTTCACCATATGCGTTATGACTTTCCTAAATTACAGACATGCCTGTCTGATCTGTAAATCCCTAGACTCCATCTCAGTTCTTTGTAACAGCTTCTAATATTTGCTATATTCATACACTGTGATATACAGTGATATTCTCTGAGCTATGAATGGAACTACTATATTACTTATTTTCTCCTGAAAAGTAATCATTGAGCATAGCTTCCTTGGAGTTTGCATCCATCATTCACAGTCACCCCTGGGCCAAGGGGATTTTGCCCCCCCCCCCCGGAACTATTTGACTGTTTCTGGATAGACATTTTATTGGGTGGCATGCTACTGGCATCTAGTGGATAAAAGACAAATATACTTCAAACATCCACAGTGCTTGGGACGTCTTCCCAAGTAGAGGCTTCTGTAGATGTGGACAGTACCAAGGCTGGAAATCTAATGTGTGGGTGTGGTGCTGTTTACCTGGTGATTTTTTAAGACAATGCTGACTGCATTTCACAGTAGTTATCTGTTACTTATAGCAATATTTTTTAAGTTTTATTTGTTTTAAAAAATAACAGACCATTTGAAAAATAATTCTATATGACAGTTCTAGAAAAATGTTATTAATGTACTTTTCTTCATTTTCATCTATTAGGTAAGTTGTTTTAATAGCAGAATTTGTTGCATATGCTCTGTACTGCGATATTAAGTCAAGAAAAATATTAACTCAAATCACATGGGATAAGATGCTTTATGTTTGCAGAACTGTCAGTTAAATATGTAACATACTAGGTCCTTAGAGCTAACAGAAAGGTTTATGATGAAGAAATAAAAAGCTATTTTTTATCACTGCTCTTTTTGTCTGTCTATCATCTTTTGTTTAGGGGTAAATGTGGAGGTAATTGGGCTCATTTTATAGTTTATAAAGGTTTTTTTCCCTGAACTATCACTTATTTAGTATTATTAGAAGTAATATTAATAAATCTAATATATATTACTACTCATTTTTTACTTTTTAATTATGTCAGCTAGTGCCTAGGTTTTTTTCCAGATATTTTAAAGAAACTAATGACATTCTAAGCGACATTGCTGTGCTTTTAGTTTTAGACACATTACTATGTGTCTAGACAGAATTTTACTCTAACTTCATGACTGAAGCATTTTTTTTGCTTATCTTGATAAATTAATTACATAACCAGAAAACAAGGGAACCTCATGGCCAACTTTAGTGTTCCTGGCTTCATATCTTAAAAACTATGAAAAGTAGAGTTATAATTTAGACTTTTACTGAACTAAAATGTGTTAGCTTTTTGGCAGTGTCTCAAGCTGCCTGAGAGAAAACTCTTCAGAGAGAAAGTCTTTATTTCTCCATCAGTGTTTGAGAGGGTTTGGCCGCTTGCTGTGGGCTCACATTGGTGCTGGCAGCAATTTACCATTGCAGGAAGGAAGGCCTAAGCAGAGTTGTTAGGCTCACAAGCTCCCCGCCACCAGAGAGCAGGGGACCTGTATTGACCCTAACCCATCAGAGTGAGTCTTCCACCTTTAATTAGCCCTCTCTGGAGATGGCCTCGATAGACCCAGAGACATGCTCTGCGGTTACTCTCTCTCAGTTCAGCGACTTACATTCATGTTTAAAACAAAACAGCTTTCTGGGTCTGATATTGGAAGAGGTATCACATTGATGGAGAAGAAAGAGAATTGAAATTGATGTGAGGTGTGCGGCAGAAGGTGAGGAATTTGATCTGTGATGTCTGTTGTTTTAAGCTGTTTGAGTCCTGCCTCAGCTACTGCCTAGCTGACACATTAAGCCTTTTTTTTTTTTCAGGAAAATGTACCATAGTTGGGTGTAAGAAGCAATAAGACAAATACATATGTAGCATGCATTTTTGTGTGTAGTAGTGATATATAGGTATAACCATTGTTTTTCTGTTTATTGGTGATAAAAGATCATCTTCTGTAATAAAACTCTTAAATGTTTTTTCATACTTACATAAAGTAAATCAGTATAATCTTAGTAGAATGTGTAGTAATGTCTTCATGGTTGTGTTACATTGTCACAGATTACAATGTGTAATGGTTTTCTTTTTCCTATTCCTATTGTTAAAGATACCCCATATTTGAGAATCCCTACCCTTTGAGCATACACGAGTCCCCTGTTACATGTTGTGAATATTTTGCTGATTGTCCTGTGGACCTCATTCCTGCACTTTATTCTGTTGGAGCTAGACAGAAACGTCAAGGCTACAGCAAAAAGGTACCAAATCTGAGTTCACTGTTTAATGTAACATAGTATTATTTTAAATTTCTCACCTTGAGGTATTGGGAACACTGTTAGCTTTTTGGGATATTATTTTTAGGAGTAAATTATGTGTACTATGTTCATACCTATATAATATTCCTATACATTGTATGCTACATATCTACTATCTAGAATATATATTTTGAAGACAATTTCCAATGTTTTTTTTTTATAGGAATGGCCCATCAATGGAGGTAATTGGGGCTTGGGTGCTCAAAGTTACCCAGAAATAATTATTACAGGGTAAGTGAAAGTATATTTTTGCCAATTAAGTAACTAATTGCTAATATGCTTCTTAGGACAGTTTGAATTTTAACTCATTTGGTAAGTAAAGCTTCCCTCAGTGTTACAGTATAATGAAAAGCAAGTTACTGGTGAGATGAGCTACTCCCAGCGGTTCCTACTTTCACTCGTCCTTGTGAATGAGTGTGCTGACAAGTAACAATGTAACTGCTTTTTTGTGTCGGTTTTTTCCTTTTTCATCACATTCTCCTCTCCTTTCTTGGTCCTAGGCATGCTGATGGGTCAGTTAAGTTCTGGGATGCTTCTGCAAGTAAGTGCTTTGAATATTTAACTGTTGGTCATGTTTCATTGCCTTTGCCCTTATACATATTGATTTCAATAATTGTACAAACAGCATTAGACTTGAAAGTACTAGATTATCAGCTCAATATAGAATTATCAAATATGTGAGTTCAGAATTTTGAAGAATCCAGATATGTTAATGTTATTAGTAAGCCAAATAATAATTCTCAACAGTGTTCCAATCTCTTCAACTATCATCAGAACGCCTCTTTAAAAGTCAAAAATAGACATGAAAATATATTTCAAATTAGATAATGCTTCTATCCAGTTCTAAACTACTATCACAAGAGATTATATTGTCTTATGAACAGACCTTGTGATTAGATAGTAATAAAGAGGGAAGAGACACCTTTAGAGATTGGAGACCATTTATAGCAAGCATTTATGGAAATCACCTAACTCAGGAGAGCTGGTGCTTTATAGGAATGTTTGATAATACTGGTGTCTTTTGGGAGAAAGTTTATATAGAGAATGTCATTTCAGGGAATAAATACATTTTCCATATTTTACAGTAAAGATTTTGCTCCAGTTTCCTTTTGAAGTTTTTCTTCAGGCTATCTAAATCCTTTGTAATGGTGGAAATGTCTGAATATATAGTATGCTGGAAAATAGATAGAGAAATGAAAATATGATTTAGGTAAATATAGGCTTTTTTCATAACATGATAATTAGCTGTTATATTTGGTTTTTAAAGATTTGACAGATTTTTTTCATATTATATTTTGGTTATATTCTTTACCCTCCCTCAGCTCTGCCCAGATCCTTCCTGCCTCCCCATGCATCTAAAACTTCATGCCGCCTCTCCAAAAATTTTAGAAAGTAATAAAATCATAACAAAAAAATTCCAAAACAAAAAGCACCCCCACGCGCGCACGCACACACGCACACACACAATGGAGTCATTTTATATTGGCCAAATATTCCTGGGCCTACCCTGGAGCATGGTTTATGTCACTACTGGAGAATACTGCTTTTCTCTTTCCCAGCATGTAACAGTTGGGAATAACTTTTGGTGAGGGTTGGATTTTGTGTCTGCTTTCCTTCTCCACGCTGGGACTTTGTCTGGTTTGAACCTGTGCAGCAATTATGTTTGCTGTCATAGTCTCCGTGAGTTCATGTGTGCATTAGCACCTTAAGCCTTGAGAGGAAAGATTTGAGACAGCCCTCACCTCTAGGGCTAAGTGCTAAAGTCTTTCACTCAACACATCGTCCAATTGTGGGTCTCTTTGTTAATCACCATCTAATGCAGGAAGAAGCGTCTCTGATCAGAGATGGGCACAGCGCTGGCATATGGGTGAAACAGCGTGTCATTCTGAGTCACCTTCTTCCTGTGTCACCTCACCAGTAGAGCAGTAGTATCTCCTTCCCTGGGCCCGTGTCCTAGCCAGTCTCGGGTTCTTGACCAGTTTAGCAGTGTTGGGTATGGGCTCTATGTCATCAAGTAGGCTTAAATCCAATTAAAAAAAAAAAAGTGGTTGATTCCTTTCCAGCTCTTTGTGCCACTATTGCACCAGTGTGCTTTGCAGGCAGTCGCTGTAGGTCACAGAGTTTATAGCTCGGTGATAGTTTCTTTTCCTTGGAAATTCTTCTCCTCCCATCCTTGCCCCTTCATAACTGCCTGCCTTCTATGGGAGTTGAGTTTTGTGCTGGATAATAGATATGGATCTATTTTCATTCTTCTACGTGTAACTATGTACTTTGACCAGCACCATTTGTTGAAGTTGCTGTCTTTTCTCCAGTGTACAACTTTGACTTCTTTGTAAAGTATCTGTAGGTGTGCGGACTTATATCTTAATCTTTTATTTTATTTCTTGTCAACATGTCTGCTTTTTATGGCAATACCATGCTGTTTTTATTACTATAGCTCCACTATACAGTGTGAAATCAATGGTGGTGGTACCTAGGAGTTCTCTTATTATTCCAAATTATTTTAATCCAGGTAGTGGCCATCTATGTTTTGAGTTCCAGCTTTCCAGAAGCAGAGGCATGTACACCTCTGTAGACCAGCTTGGTTTTGAGTTCCAGAACAGCTAGGACTGTATAGACAGACCCTGTTTGAAAAAACAAACAACAACAATAACAACCAACAAAATAGAATTATTTTAGTTATCCTGAGCATTTTATGTTTCTACATAAAATGTAGAAATTTTCTTGTTTTTGGTTTTTGAGGTTTTTGTCTGTTTATTTATTTATTCCAAATACTGTGAAGAATTCTGAGAATTTTGATGGGAATTACATTGAATCTAGATAGCTTTTGGTATGATAGCCATTTTCACAATATTAATCTTCCTGACCCATGAGCATGGGAGGTCTTTCCATATTCTGATATTGTCTTCAACTTTATTCTTCAGTATCTTACACTTTCTATTATTCAAGTCTTTCACTTGTTTGGTTAGAGCTATTCCAAGTTTTTTTTTGTTTTGTTTTGGGTGTTTTCTGTTTGCTTGTTTTGAGGTGATTGTGAAAGATACTGTTTCCCTGATTTCTTCACTGTCTGTCATTTGTGTATAGGACAGCTGTGTGTGTGTGTGTGTGTGTGTGTGTGTGTGTGAATTTTGTATCCTGATACTTTGTTGAAGTATTTATAGAAGTTTCCTGGTGGGGTTTTTAGGGTCTGTTGTGTATAAAACAATATGTCTGAAAATAAAGATGCCTTTACTTTCCCTTTCCTGTGCACATCTCTTTATGCTCTCCTTCAGGTGTCTTACTGTGATCAAGACTTCGAGGATTATATTGAATAGCTATGAAAAGAATATCCTTGTCTTGTTTCTGATTTTAGCGGAATTGCTTTGAGTTTTTCTACATTTAGAATGATGTTGGCTATAGGCTTGCTGTACATTGACTTTATTGTGCTGAGGTTTGTTCCATTATTCTGAGTCTCTCCAGGACTTTTATCATGAAAGGTTTGGTCAAAAAACTTATCTCCATCTAATAAAATGATTGTGCAGTTTTGTCTTCTAGTCTTGTTTATGTGGTGGATTACTTGTTAATCTAGTTGAGCCATTGCTGCATCTCTGGAATGAAGCCAGTTTGTTCATGGTGGATAATCATTTTTTGATGTGTTCTTGTATTCAGCTTCGAAATATTTTATTGACATTTTTTGAATATATGTTTGAAAGGAGTGTTGGTCTTTTTTTCTGTTGTCGGGTCTTTATATGGTTTTGGTATGAGAGTAATAATGGCTTTGTAAAACAAACGGGGAAGTATTTCTTCAGTTTCTATCTAGTGGAATAATCTGAGTAGTAATGGCATTAGCTCCTCTTTGAAGGTCATTAGAATACTGAACTGAACCATCTGTGCCCAGGCTTTTTTTGGTTGAGAATCTTTTAATACTGCTTCAGTTTCTCTATGGATTATGAATCTGTATAAATCATTTATTTCATTTTAATTTTAGTGGATCATATGTATCTAGAAATTCATCAATTCTTTAAGGTATTTTAGGTTGATGGAGAAGAGATTTTTAACTTATGTCCTTAAAATTCTCTCTTAAATTTCCTCAGTAATTCCTCCATTTTGACATCTAATTTTATTAATTTGGATCTTCTCTCTGTGTCTTTTTTTTTATTTGGCTAGAAGTTTGTTGATATTCTCAAATATCCAAATCTTTGTTTCCTTGATTCTTTGTATTGGGTTTGTTTGTTTCTTGTTCATTGATTTCTTCCCTTGTTTGATAATTTATTTCTTGTCATTTGAGTACTATTTCTTCTTGTTTTTCTTAGAACTTTCAAGTGTGTCATAAATAAGATATTAATATGCAGTTTCTGCCGGCTGTTGGTGTGGCGCTTAGCTCTGTCTTAGTGTTATGTACATCCTTCTTAGAACCAGTGTCATTGCTCCCATGAGCTTGGTGTGTGCTGTGTTCTTACATTCATTCAGTTATAAAATGTTTGTAATTTCCTACTTGATTTCTTTCTTTACCCAGTTTTCATTCAGTAATAAAGTGTTCAATTTCCATGACTTTGTTTACTCCCTGCCGCTTTTTTTGTTGTTACTGTGCAGCTGTGATCCACGGTGTTCAAGGAGGATGCAAGTGCTATTTCAGCTTTCCTGTTTCTCTTAAGACTTCTTTGTATCCTAACATGTGCTCAGTTTTGGAGAAATGTCCATGGGCTGCTGAGAAGAAAGTAGATTCTTTAGGGCTTGAATGAAATATTCTGAAGGTGTCTGTTAAGTCCAGTTGATTTCTGACAACAGTTAGCTCCAGCGTTTCCCTACTTAATTTTTGACCCGTTCGTTGGCAAGAGTAGGATGTTGAAGTCGTTTGCTATCTCTTTATGGGGGTCACCATGTGATTGTTATCTACAGTGGTGCTTCTGAACTTGCCTGTGGTGTATAAGTGTTTAGACTTGCAATAGCTCTTAGTGAAGTTTTCCTTTAACGCATATGTAGTGTCCTTCCCTAGCTCATTTGAAGCACATTTCCTCGGAATGCCTTTTCTGTCCTTCTACCCTGAGTAGATTTCTGTCCTTGATGGTGAGGTATATCTCTAGAATGCATCAAAAAGATGGATCATGTTTCTAATCCAGTCTGCTAGTCAGTGTCTTTTTATTAGGAATCGAGATCACTAATAAGTACGTTCCTGATACTTTGTTGTGGTGGTCTCAGTGTTTTTTGCCCCACTTTTGATGAATTACTCTAGGACAGTTTATTCCTTGTGTCCTCTTTAGACTGACGTTGTTTTTGTAGTGCTTGTGTAGTGCTGGATTGATGATCAGCAGTTCCTTAAACTGCTTTTATCGTGAGGTTTTTTTTCATCAGTTGTGATTGGTAGTTTGGGTGGGTATGGTAGTCTAGTCTGGCATCTGTAGTCTTTCAGAGCTTATACAAAATCTTTCTAGACCTTTCTGATTTTCAGTCTTCCTTGAGAGTCAGGAGTTATTTCCATGTGCGTGCCTTTATGTTACTTGCTTTTTTTCCCTTAAAAAATTTAATATTCTTTCTTTGTTCTATACATTTATTATTTTGTTATTATGTGTTATGGAGAATTTCTTTTCTGGCACTGCCTATCTTGTATTCAATATGTTTCTTTAACTTGATAGGCATCTCTTTCTTTAGACTGGGTAACTTTGCTTCTCTGAATTTGTTAAATAATACTTTCTGAGTCTTTGACCTGGATATCTTCTCCCTTCATTATCCCAGTAATTTGTAGATTGGGTCTTTGCACAGTGTCCCAGATTACCTGGATGGTCTGTTCATGATTTTTTTTTTAATTTAACTGACCTACCCAGTTCTACGTTGTCTTCAAGACTTGAAATTCTCTTATTTCATGTCTTCTAAGCTATAGGTGAGATTTTTGTTTGACTTCCTGAGTTTGATTCTAGTTTGCGTCTCCTTTAGTTTTCCTATTTCTTTATTAAATTCTACTTTCATTTCTTGAACTATTTCCATCGTCTCATCAATTGTCTGTTTATATGTTCAGCCTTCATTGGGGCATTCATCCCATTCCTTTTTAATGTGCTTGATCATTTTCATGACTGTTATTTTTAAGTCTTTGTGTTGTGATTTAGCTAAGTTAGTTTTCTGGGTTCTTGTTACAGTAGGTTTGCTGCCTTGTGAAGGAGGCAGGTTCCCATGGTTGCTATCATTATCATGGTTCTCCATCCTTGGGATTTTGCACTGGAATCTAAGTATCTATTGTTATGATGGTTAGAGTATTTCTTATAGATATCTGCTCTTATCTTTGCTGGGTGCTTATTCCGGTCTTTGCTTGCTGTTTCCCAGTCTGAGTTCTAGCCGACTGTGGCATCTGGGGTGGGGGTGGGGAGACTAAATCCCAGCCAAGTATGAGAGCTGTTGGTCCCTGGTAGAGAGAGATTTATGGGTTGGCAGGGGGTCACAAAAAATGGATCTGCACAAGGAATAGCTGCAAGGGCTGGCAGAGAAGAACTAGCATTTTTTTTTTTTATTTTCAGCTAAAATTTATAATATACTTTCTCCTAGTAACTCTACAAGTACTGTATAAATTAAAAACGTCTAAAGTATTTGAAAAGTCAAGAAATAAAGATGACAGACCAAACACCGACATTGTAGATGAAGATCCATACGCCATTCAGATCATCTCCTGGTGCCCAGAGAGCAGAATGCTGTGCATAGCTGGAGTGTCAGCTCATGTCATCGTCTATAGATTCAGCAAACAGGAAGTAGTTACAGAAGTCATTCCGGTAATCACCTCTTCACTGTTTTCCTTGTCAGTTGTTTGATATTTTTAAGCTTTTAAAAATTATTTAGTAAACAATTTTCTTGTACATAAAAATGTGAAAGCACCTCCGCCATCTAGTTTGTGAAAATAGCACGTTCGCATATATATTAATGTACTATCTGAATTTTTAAGTATGCTATGCCTTTTATTTAAGGAATATCAACTGTTGGTATTCCATAGAGTCTAAACCATTATGCACACGTGTGCATGTGTGAATTCCCACCCAAGCACACGGTTTTTAAAGGTTGAGTAGAAACTCTTTTTTTTTTTCTTTTATCTCTAGAAATATAGCGTTTTTAAACCTTAAATTTTAAAGATATTCTTTCTGGTATGTTATATTACAAGTTTTTTTTTAATGATTAGGAATAGGTAAACAGCTATTCTTTTATGACAGATGCTTGAAGTTCGACTGTTATATGAAATAAACGATGTGGAAACGCCAGAGGGTGAGCAGCCGCCACCTTTGTCCACCCCCGTGGGCAGCTCCAACCCTCAGCCCACTCCTCCTCAGTCTCATCCGTCCACCAGTAGCAGCTCATCTGATGGGCTTCGTGATAATGTACCTTGCTTAAAGTAAGTTGAAAACATTAGGTCTACTTTACATATTATCTCTTCATTTAGGAAAATGGTAATCATTAGTACACCTCTGGTGGCATTTCCTGTAAGAACAGGTGTTTCTGTGTTCGGCTGTGGTTGACTGAGCTTGTTTCTTTATGGTATGCTGTTACACCTGATGTTGCCAAGGTTTAAAATAACGAGGTTCATGGCCTTGGGTCACCCACTACACCTTCTCTGCCAGCCGTGGCTGCCTTCTGAACTCAGGTTCTGTGTGGTTTATGTTCATTCTCTTCACTGAACTCTGAAAATTCTCCTTCCTACCATCTTCACTTGGAATTCAATGTTCTTATATTTTATTTTATCTTTTCGTGAGTCTTAGCATCAATTTCACTTTTATTTAAAAGATTGTATTTTCTATTATTTTAAGACCATACTAATTCATGCAGAGATAAATTGGATAAATTTTCCTTTCGTTTTTTTGCTGTTGTTGTTGTTGTTGATCAGTTTCTATTTTTGAATGATTAAATTCTTCAAAGATCACAGAGAACTAAAGTGATGAGTAAGGAACTGTAATTGCTGGATGACATGAAGACTGTGACTCAGTCTCCACATAGGAAGCAACTAAAATCGTGATGGAGACAAAAGCTCTTCTTGTAGTGGATCCTAAGTGGAGAGGTGACAGGACAGCATTTGTACTCAGTGAAGAACTAGGCTTTGTATTGATTTTACTGTTGACCTACTAGAATCTCTTCTTCTAGTGAGTATGCGGTGGGTAGGATGTAGATATAATAAAAAAGCCACTCCCCACTTAAGACAAACAGACATTTAAGAAAAAGAAAAAAATCACAATTTTGTTTTTTAGGATTCACTTTTTTAAATTTTATTTCAAAGTACATGTTTTCCAGAAATTCTTTGTATGTTCTCAAAAACTTGAGAGCATGGTTTTTAAACAAGTGAGTCTCGAGAAGGGATGGCCTTGCCTGTTTCAGGATATGTGCCAATGTCTGGAGACATTGTTAGTTTCCCAGCAGGGACGGGGGCTGCTGTGGTGTGGTAGACAGGAACCTGAGATGAGGCTCAGCTCTCTAGTGGACAAGCAGAGAATTGCTTTCTTCAGAATGCAGTAGTCTCAAAGGCCCAAGTGGGCTTCTTCTCTTCCTTCCCATGTTTACCTCCCCTTTTCTGTGCCTCCTCTTCTCCCTCTTGCTTCCCCAAGCTTCTCTTCCCCTCTGACACTTAGACACACACACCACACACCTCCTTTTAGCTACAGTTCTTGCATATGTTATTAGAACAAAATTTACAATATAGAGTTTATATTTTTGCTTTTTTATTATACAATACTACTTTAAGACTAAATTTTAAAATGTTACTGCAATGTTTTTATATTGGTTTCATTTTTTTTAGTTTTTATTAATTTTTATAGATGGATAAAATACAATTGTCCTTTCTGGATATTGATAAAATAGTTCTGTATTTCCTCGATTTTATCAATTATATGAAGTAACACTTTAGTATATTTAGCACAATGTTGTCACATAAAATGTAAGATAATATTGTTCTCATCAGCAAAATTAGAATACTTTTATCTGGACTTTGGAATTACTGACAGAAAGAAAGGACAAAGAAAGCAGGAAGTTAATAACCAAGAACAATTAAAACCTCCAGCCAGTGAACTGAAACACATAGTCTGGACATCTAAATCCTTGTAAGATACACTGTCTCTGGAACTGAGTTTTCAGTACTGTCCACAGACCTGAGATGATAGATAGCCATCATTACTGTCTGACATTCATATCTGTGGTGGGATGTACTAACTTCTAATCTGCAAGTCTTTAGTAGAATGTCACTTAATATAGCAATACTTTCTCAGTTGGAATTTCAAGAGACTCTTCATATCTAGAAAGTCTCATCAGCCAACCTGTTACTAATTTATAATCTTTGTTATTACCATTAGCTGTTAACATTTGTATGTTGATATACTTTCTTTATCCTGGTCTTATATATCATATATATATATATATATATATTTCTTAATCCTGGAAGAATTGAGGTAACTCTGATTTGATAATAATGTTCTTCTTCACTTTGAGTGACATTTTAAACTTCTAGGACATAACTGAGTTTGAAAATTCACTGTGGTGTTGTCTCCATTTTTGGAGAAGCTTGCTTTGAAGGGGTTTCTCCCTTAGCCTCATATGACTAACCTTGATTCCTGTCAAGATAATGTAGTTCTTGCCCTCTTCTTATCTTCACGTGGAATTCAGGGAACCCAACTTCCTTTCTTGAAGAGTGTAACAACAGAATAAAATATGATTTCTAGACCTGTCCAGATCCCCTGCAACATCCTGCCCTCTTCTTTTTTTTCTTATTAATAACCCACTGAGTCCAGTGTATGCTGCTCATATACTCCCCCAGTGTGGGCACACTGGATCATGTCCAACCTGTAAGGGGAAACACCTCTAACGAAAACTGGCTCTTCTTTCTCCAACTGTCAGTAGCTCCTCAGCTGTGGTGTTGTCAGATAGTCAAGGGTCACTGAGGACCAGAGCGAATGTTACATTTCAGTTGTTCTCAACCTTCCTAATGCTCTGACTGTTTAATACAGTTCCTCATGGTATGGTTACCCCCAGCCATAAAATTATTTCTGTTGCTACTTCATAACAGTAATTTTGCTACTGTTATAAATCGTAATGTAAATAAATAACTGGTATATAATCCATGTGAAACGGAGTCACAACCCACAGGTGACATATGTAGATGTCTCAATAACAAAAAGATTTGTCATAATTAATCCTTTATTGAAACATGACTAGATTGAAATGCAGAGAGAGGAGGGGAAGTAACTGTGCCTCCTTTTCCCCTTCTGATCTGATTTATAAGCCAGGGTGTAGCTGTGGGAACAGCAGAGCTGTAGTCAGATACTGCTCATTCGTTTCCCGGCCGCCCAAAATAATCACTCAGAAATTATATTAATTACAACACTGCTTGGCCAATGGCTCTAGCATACTCAGAGTTGTCTTGATTTGAATTTCCCTGATATCTAAGGAAGTTGAACATTTCCTTAAGTATTTTTTGGCCATTTGAGATTCTTCTGTTGAGAATTCTCTGTTTAGTTCAGTACCCCATTTTTTAATTGGGTTATTTAAAATTTTAATGTCTAATTTCTTGAGTTCTTTATGTATTTTGGAGATCAGTCCTTTGTCTGATGTGAGGTTGGTGAAGATCTTTTCCCATTCAGTAGGCTGCCTTTTTGTCTTAGTGACAGTGTCCTTTGCTTTACAGGAGTTTTCAGTTTCAGGAGGTCCCATTTAGTTATTGTTGCTCTTAGTGTCTCTGCTACTGGGTTATATTTAAGAAGTGGTCTCCTGTGCCCATGCATTAAAGGATACTTCCAACTTTCTCTTCTATCAGGTTCAGTGTGGTCAGATTTATATTGAGGTCTTTAATTCATTTGGACTTGAGTCCAAATGGCAATAGATATGCATCTATTTTCATTCTTCTTCATGTTGATATCCAGTTATGCCAGCACCATTTGTTGAAGATGCTTTCTTTTTTCCATTGTATAATTTTAGCTTCTTTATCAAAAATCAGGTGTCCATAGGTGTGTGGATTAATATTTGGGTCTTCAATTTAATTCCATTGTTCAACATCTCTTTTTATGCCAATACCAAGCTGTTTTCATTACTGTAGCTCTGTAATAGAGCTTGATGTCAGGGATGGTGATGCCTCCGGAAGTTCCTTTATTGTACAGGATTGTTTTGGCTATCCTGTTTTTTTTTTTTTGTTTTTCCCAAATAAAGTTGATTATTTTTCTACCAAGGTCTGTGAAGAATTTTGTTGGGATTTTGATGGGGATTGCATTGAATCTATAGATTGCTTTTGGTAGCATTGCCATTTTTACTGTGTTGGTCCTTCCTATCTAAGAGCATGGGAGATCCTTCCATTTTCTGGTATCTTCTTCAGTTTCTTTCTTCAAAGCCTTAAAGTTCTTGTCAAATAGGTCTTTCACTTCCTTGGTTAGTGTTACCCCAAGATATTTTTTGTTATTTGTGGCTATTGTGAAAGGTGATGTTTCTCTGATTTCCTTTTCAGCTTCTTTATTATTTGTGTATCTTTTATCCTGTCACATCACTGCAGGTATTTATCAGCTGTAGAAGTTCTCTGGTAGAGTTTTTGAGGTCACTTATGTACACTATCATATCCTCTGCAATGGCTAAGATCAAAAACACTAATGATAGCTTATGCTGGAGAGGATATAGAGTAAGGGGAACACTCATCCATTGCTGGTGGGAATGCAAACTTGCACAACCACTTTGGAAATCAGTAAACACTTTCTCAGAAAATTGGGGATCAACCTACCTCAGGATCCAGCAATACCACTCTTGAGAATATACCCAAAAGATACTCAATCATACTACAAAAACATTTGTTCAACTATGTTCATAGTAGCGTTATTTGTAATAGCCAGAACATTGAAACAATTTAGATGCCCCTCAATGGAAGAATGGATAAAGAAAGTGTGGCACATCTACACATTAGAGTACTACTCAGCAGAAAAAAAAAATGGCATCTTGAATTTTGCATGCAAATGGATGGAATTAGAAAACACTATCTGAGTGAGGTAACCCAGATTCTAAAAAATGAATATGGTATGTACTCACTCATAAGTGGATACTAGCTATAAACAAAGTTCATGATCCTAGAGAAATTAAATAATAAAGTGAACCCAAAGTAAAACATATGTAGATACACCTGGAAATTGGAAACAGACAAGATCGTCTGACAAAATTGGGAGCATGCGGGTGGGAGAGGTGGGGTAGAAGGAAGAGGAGAAGGGAAAGAGGAGGGGAGAAAGGGAGGGTTGGGGAGAGCTTGAGGGAATGGGATAGTCAAGATGGAGGAAGAACAGATATGAGAGCAAGGAAAGAGATATCTTAGTTGAGGGAGCCATTATGGGGTAGCAAGAAACCTGGTTCTAGAAAAATTTCCAGGAATCCACAAGGATGACCCCAGCTAGGACCCAAGCAGTAGAGGAGAGGGTGCCTGAACTGGCCTTGTCCGGTAGTCAGACTGATTGTTATCTTAAATATCACTATGGAAACTTCATCCAACAACTGATGGAAACAGAGGCAGAGACCCACATCAGAGCACTGGACTGAGCTCCCAAGGTCCAGTTGAAGAGCAGAAGGAATGAGAATATGAGCAAAGAGGTCAAAACCATGAAGGGTCCACCCACTGAGACAGTTTACCTGAGCTAATAATGGGAGCTCACCAACTCCAGCTGGACTGGAAAGGAACAAGCATAGGACCAAACTAGTTCCTCTGAATCTGGTTGACAGTTGGAGCAGATTGAAGGGCCACTGACAATGGCAATGGGATTTGTCTCTGCTGCATGCACTGGCTTTCGGGATCCTATTCTCTTTGGACATATACCTTGTTCGACCTAGATGTAGTAGGGAGGGCCTTGGACCTTACACAAAGCAAAGTGCCTTGCCATCTCTTAGTATTTGAGGGGGTGGGGTGGGAGGGGGTGTGGAGGGATGGGAGGAGGGAAGGGAATGGGAATTTGTATTGATATTTTTTTAAATAAATAAAAAAGAAAGAAAATGCAGTTCAGCTAATATCCACAGAGAGACTATAGGGAGCCATCTCATGCTGCAGTCTTCCAGGAGGAAGAAGCTATGGTGGTTACTTTTTTCCAGCGCAGTAATAAGCATCCACACTCAACCAGTGAGAGGCCTTCTCCTTTCATGGGTCTGAGGCACTGGGATCCTTCGCTTGGCAGGGCTCATATCAGCAATGTGCATTCACTCGGGAGTTCATCTGCTTCTCACACAATGCCTTTGTACACAACTGGCTATTTTTTAAACAAATATTTTCAAGCTGTTTTATTTGTTTCTTTTACTAATCCAATTTTATGGTTTCTTTATTTAGGTATTCTAAGTGAACCTTTGCAAAGTACTTGTCCAAATAGAAAGTTGTTTTAAAATTATGATACTTCCAAATATCATTTTAACATTTTAAAATGTATTTATACAAATGGTGAAACCTTTTATAAATGTTTTATAGCTTACCATTAGCAAGTAAGGAAGTTGAGTATATTTAAAATATTAAGTGTATAGCTTTAATAGTTGTAGACAACAATTTATCAGTCCTTCCCACTTTCTGTTTTTAAAATCCAACTCTGTCATTTCTTCTTTTATTACTTTTATGTGTGTGTGTGCACACACAGTCATGCATATGTGGGCACAAGAACATGCCACAGCAAGCACAGAAGTCAAAATGATTGTAGGAGTCCACCCTATCCTTCCATATGTGGGTCCTGGGCTTCAAGGTCAGGTGTTTGGTCTTAACAACAGGTGCCGTAACTTGCTGAGCCATCTTCTTGGTTTGTCCCTTTCTATTATTTTATTTATTTATTAAAAATTTCCACCTCCTCCCATCCTCTTGTTTCCCATTCACTCCCCCCACTCCCCCGTCCCCTCGCTCTCCAGTCCTAAGAGAAGTCAGGGTGCCCTGCCCTGTGGGAAGTCCAAGGCCCTCTCCCCTCCATCCAGGTCTAGGAAGGTGTGTATCCAAACAGACTAGGCTCCCAAAAAGCCAGTACATGCAGTAGAATCAAAATCCAGTGTCATTATCATTGGCTTCTCAGTCTAACCTCATTGTCAGCCACATACAGAGAGTCCAGTTTGATCACATGCTCGTTTAGTCCCAGTCCAGCTGGCCTTGGTAAGCTCCCATTAGATCAGTCCCACCATCTCCGTGGGTGGACGCACCCCTCGTGGTCCTGACTTTTTTGCTCATGTTCTCCCTCCTTCTGCTCTTCATCTGTGCCTTGGGAGTTCAGTCCAGTGAGCTTCTGATTATTCATTTGTTTTCTAGTCCTTTGGGATGAACCTAAATTTGCCACACAGGCAAGAACTCTACTACCTAAATATTCCCCTAGCCAGCCCAGGTTTCTAGGTTTTATTTTAAATACAAATTAGAGATTTTAAGCTGAACAATAGTGGCACACACCTTTAATCCCAGCACTTGGGAGGTAGAGGCAGGTGGATCTCTGTGAGTTCCAGGCCAGTCAGGTCTATAAGAGCTAGTTCCAGGATAGGCTCCAAAGCTACAGAGAAACCCTGTCTCAAAAAAAAAAAAATGTTTTTGGCAACAGGTTAGTATTTAGAGAAATTTTTGGTTTGCTATTTCCTTATATTTTTTTATTCTTAGCATAGTGAAGTTTTAAAAAGATTTATTTTGTGTTTGATTTATTGTGTATGTTGGTGTTTGTATATTTCTATGTACACAATGGGTGTTGATGCCTATAAGTGAAGTCTAGAAAATGGCATCTGATCCGCTGGAGCTGGAATTATAGACAGTTATGAGCTGCCTGGCATAGGTCCTGTGGACTGAACTGTGGTCCTTTACAAGAGCACTACATGCTCCTAACTGCATCCATCGCTTTATCCTCACCACAAGTCTTAAGTATAGCCTGTATGTGCTTTTAAAGTTATTACTGTAAGATCTGCTCCTGCCCTTGAGATCCTAATCCAGTATGCACATTCTGTATGCCAGGTCCAAGGCGTGTTTCCTGGAGGCTTGCTTCTTGCCTAATTCAAGCAAGAATAGCCAGCCCCATTTGGGCTCAACCTGTATGTGTCAAAACTGCCTCTAGGTAAGAGGTCAGATGCCTCAGTTCTCATTTTAATGCCTTAATATCAACAAATGCAGGTGGATGTTGGCCAGTTCCCCGAAAAGCAGCAGAAATTCTCTCTCAGCAGGTACAGTTCTGAGGGCCAGAGGTGACTCCAGTTCACTTCCTGTTACACGTGTGTACAGTGACTCTCATCCTCCTGGTAGTCTTGACAACCGACTCTTATCTTTTTCTTAGCACATTGCTAACAAGTATCTTAGTCCTTCTCACTATAGAAGTACCAGCAAAATTATTCAAAAGTGCTTCTGCCTCTCAATGAAGCTGCAGGCTGTTTGACAGTGAGTAGTCATCTTGCTGTCCGTTATACTCTGTCACTCCAAGGCGGAATCCAAAAAATTAGTGGAAGACCAGACTTTGCAAGCATTTGTGCAGTCTAAGGTACCCTCAGCTTAAAATGTAGTTACACATGCAAATAAATTGCTCTTCTTGTTTAAATCTATTTCTTTCACATGAAGGTTGCTGATACATGCATGGCAGGGGTGAAGTCTAAGGATTCTTCAGAAAGTCTCATATTTCTATAAATTTCTCCCTCTCCTTCTTTTCTAATATCATAGACTTAGCCGAAACAAGTTTAGTACAAATTAATCCATTATTTGTGAGATTTGGGTATTTGACACCTCTCTGCCAAGTGGTTCTAAATTCATAGATGCGTAACATCACCTCAAATTTCCTAGCTATTCCTCTGAACGAAGCCTTCATTACTGATGCACCTAATGGATTTATTTAGTGATTTTGACCTTACAGTCACTGTGACTTCTCCTCTCTTCATGTAACTCAGTCCAACCTCTCCTTTACTCACTTATTCTGTGGATCTTGTATACAGAAGTTAAAATTAGTACAGGATTTCTGTCTTCTAGGGGAGAGGTGCTTACCACCTTGTTTGATGACCTGAGTTTGATCCCTAGAACCTATACCATGGAAGGAAGGAACTGACTCATGCAAACTGTCCTTTGCATGGAGGTTTGCACATCGTGCACACAGTAAAAATTAGTAAAGAAATGTGTGATTGTCTTTGATTTATACCTACCAGAAAGTTGTAAGCCACATCAAGTCTTACCTCATACTGTATTCTAAGTCTACTTTAGAAATATTGTTTAATATCAGAACAATCAGAACAATTTCCTAATTGGTCCACTTATCTGCTGGGTCTGGCATTATCTACAAATGAACAGCAGAGTGTGGAGAAGTGCTTTACTTCGCTTGTGTGGTAAAAAGTTACCCACTACAAATCAGTTGCTTGTACTAATTTTTGACTTCTATACTCATTTTTGCTTTGGAGGAGGGGTGATTTTAAGCTTTATTCTTTCATTCATTTATTCTTTTGGTTTTTTTTTTCTTTCTGGTTGCTTGTTGCTGCTTTTGCTCATTCTTAAACCTACCTTTTTCCTGTTTTTTGTTCTTCCTTTCTTCTTTTCTTCCCCACTTATTCTCTCTTATCCATCATCCTTTCCTGTCTCATAACATTATATCCATAATTTGCCAGTATTTCCCTACCTTTGTCACTCGGGCATGTGTTCATCTCTGCAACAAGGTTAAATGCTTCTAGAATACAGTGCTCTGACTTCTACATTTTAGGAAATCTAGTGTGGTCTCCTGTATAAAATTATTCTTGCATGACTATGTATGATTTCATGTGCGAAAGGCAATCAGTTAATTGGAAATGTGTTAAAATGCTAATGTGTCTTCCTTTTTCTTTTCCAGAGTCAAAAGCTCACCACTTAAACAGTCTCCAGGTTATCAGACAGAACTAGTTATTCAGTTGGTGTGGGTGGGTGGAGAACCTCCACAGCAGATCACCAGCCTGGCACTCAATTCTTCCTACGGGCTGTAAGTATGAGGGTTCTTGTTGTTTTATTGGTTTTTGTTTTTGTTTTGTTTTGTTTTTTTAGTCTCTTTGTAGTACTCCCTATGTAATTTTGCATTTAAGTATTAAAATATAAAAATACTTGGGTTTTGTTGTATCATCGCCTAAAGTGTTGCTGTGTAGCTATAATTTCTGCTTTTGGAGGGACATGGTTTTGTTTTGAAGAGTTCTTGTAGGTCTGTGCTATGACTACTGATGTACAGTATTGGACGTGCTTACCAGAGGGAAAGTCAGTGTACCCTCTCAGTGTCTCCCTGAGAAGTAATGTTCCCACATTTCTCTTAAACTCTAACATAGATTTTATAAATGGATTCTGTATTCTGTATAAATGGAACTGTAACAGTGTCGTGTTTTCTCAGCTTCCAAAGTCAACTTGTACAGATTTCTAAGGGTATAGCAGCAGTCTTAACAAAATACTCCTCTGTACACAACTGCAATTGTCCTTATGCCTTCAGCATATAGATAAAGCAGTTGTTATACTTTGTCAATGTTTAGAACCTCAGCATCACAGTAGGAAACTGCTGTGTACTGTCTGTTACAGCCATGTTTGTGCACAGACCTGTGGTGTCTGTTACAGCCATGTTTGTGCACAGACCTGTGGTGTCTGTTACAGCCATGTTTGTGCACAGACCTGTGGTGTCTGTTACATCCGTGTTTGTGCACAGACCTGTGGTGTCTGTTACAGCCATGTTTGTGCACAGACCTGTGGTCTCTGTTACAGTAGTGTTTGTGCACAGACCTGTGGTGTCTGTTACAGCCATGTTTGTGCACAGACCTGTGGTGTCTGTTACAGCCATGTTTGTGCACAGACCTGTGGTCTCTGTTACAGTAGTGTTTGTGCACAGACCTGTGGTCTCTGTTACAGTAGTGTTTGTTTGTGCACAGACCTGTGGTGTCTGTTACAGTAGTGTTTGTGCACAGACCTGTCTTGACCTCAGTGGTAGCCATAGAGAGTCACCTGTACTTTTGTTCCTGCTAATCTGCTAACTCACTATCAGTCCTCTGTCTCTTGGATTTGTACATCCAACTTAACCTGGTTGTAAGCTGAGAAGCCTCCTAGTATCTTTTATTGGCTGCCTTTTATTGGCTGTTCTTATGGAAGAACAAAAGATTCTACCTTCTAAATACTTTATTGAGCATTACAACAACAATAAAAAACTACAGACTTAAAAGAAAGAATAGGAAATTTCGAAAGTAGTTAAAAACTTATCAATTAATTATACGTTTTTATTATATTTGTGGGCTTGTTTATTTGGTGGAAATTTTTGCTCCTTCTCTAGTTTTGAAATTTAAATTACTTGCCAAGACTATATAATGTGTAGCTCATTTTTAAAGCTTCAGTTGAAACATCTACCCCTCTGGCTCCTGTGTGTTCATGCCTAGTTATCCTCATCTGCACCCGAGTGCAAGGTTTCCTCTCTGAGTTCTTCGTCTGCTGGTCAATGTCTTGTCCATCCTCTTTGACTATGACGTCACTCCCCTATACATGCCAGCTACCAAGATGCTTTAAGAGCTCTTAGAATAAGAATCCATTATACACCAGAAGTTAGGTTGTGGTTCCTAAACTGTAATGAAGAAAGCATTTTGCACAGCTCAAAGGGTGTCTCCCAAGGCTTATATTTCCTTTTTGTTCTGGACAGAGGAGTTACCAGAGATTATTCTAACCTATAATTCCATTTTCTCAGGAACAGAAAAATAGACATTTACATTGCTTAGTGTGTATGTGGGGGGAGGGAGGTCTGATCAAGCTTCAGCTTTCGTGTCAAATATTCTTATAAATGGTGCTAATGCTTGATTTAATGATATAGATAATATCTACAGAGATATGAATAGCTCCCTGAGAAAGACTGTGTACTCTGTGCTCCCATGCCTATCCTTGCCTTTAGTTTCAGGCAACTGAGGCGAGTCCCCAGATGCCCTAACTCCACATGCGAGCTCACACACACACACACACACACACACACTAATAGTCAATAAAATAAATGGAAAAAGAATTTTCTGAAAGGCCCACCAATCTATCCTTCAGCTTTGTAGTTCACATTTTTTCTAATAACTTGTTTGCACTGAGATACTTATGCTTCTCCTTGCCAGTGTGGTTTTTGGCAACTGTAACGGCATCGCAATGGTTGACTACCTCCAGAAGGCAGTACTGCTCAACCTCAGCACCATAGAACTGTACGGCTCAAACGATCCTTACCGAAGAGAACCCCGGTCGCCTCGGAAATCACGCCAACCTTCAGGAGGTAAAAAGAAAGGAAAACCTTCCTGAGCTTTCAGTGCTGCAGATGCTCGCATGCATATGTTCCTTGTGTCTGTGAGTGCTTCCCTTAAGCAAAGAGCGAGTCTGCTTTAAACTGGACATGTAAACAACCAAAGACCAGCTAGACATAGGAGTCTTGTTTTTGTTTTGTGTTTCCTTTATGGTTTGTTTTCTTTTGTTCTTAATAATATAGGGTTACTTTTAATGTCACAAGGAAACTTCAGCTAAGGCATAATACTAGGAATGTATGTCCAGTTATTATAGAATAGAAATAGATTTCTGTTTGGTCCCTCTCAGCTAATAATTGAGTTTGAACCATCTAATGAAAGCAATCATTCCTGTGTGAAAGTGGGCTCAGAGGTGATTTGCTTCCCTGATAATGAGCGTGTATAGATAGCCTTGATTAGACACAAGCTCGGGCTCATACAAAAAAAATCTTTGTAGTGTTCTTTGCTGTTTGCTAAATATCTAGTATTAATACTGCTTCAATGCTGATATCTCTTAGAACATAGAATACACATATTTCTGGCTAAGTATCCTGTACCTCTTGTATTTTACTTCGTGATATACAGCAGATAACTTCATGCATATGATATGGGGGTACACTAAGGAGACCTCTAACAATAATCGACAGTGAGCTTAGTTTTCCTGGGGACCCTCCCAGCTGGACCAGGATTAAGGGGAGCTTTATTCAGGGCTTCCTTCATTCGTCTGCGGAATCCTGGTAAGCACTGGTTTAAGGAACTGTCTGCACATTCTCCGCATACCCACGGAATTAAAGTTCTTTTTGATTCAGGGTGCTCGAAGCCATGAAGTCTAGCACCACACACACACACATATATATACTCATACATACACATATACGTATCTGCCATACACACAGAGAGCATTTTAACATTCTCTCAGATTTAAGCTGCTCTCAGTACATTGTTGGCTAATGATCGCTACCAAGTTTGTAACATGTGGAAACGAAACAAAAAAGGAAGGTAATGTTGGCTTTTCTGGCGTTTTGCTTAATGGTCAGGATTGTTTTCACAGTTTGTTCTGCCTTGTCTGTCTGAGTCCGATCATGTTGTCACGTATTATCTGCAGCAGAAGTTCTGTGTCAGCCCTGCCATTCTGGTATCTGTCTCCTTTCTCTCTCCCTCCCTCCTCATGGCTTCACTAAGGTATGCTGGCTGTGGCTTCTTGCATGTGCGGCCTTCCTAGCTCTGAGTCAGTGAAAAGACTCCGTTCTTCTTTTATAAGTAAGTCGTTTATGTCTTGACATTTTTGTTCTCTGTAAGATCATTGTTTCCCTTTTCATTTTACTAATTAACTAAAATACTTTCCATCTAAAAGACTAAACTCATTATTTAGAGTTATCTCACAACAGCTAATTGAGCAATATGCCCCAACAGAGCTTCTTTATAAAGCCTGGAAAGAAATACTTATGAAAGAATATTAAAACATTTTGTTATAAAAAATTCAGATTTTACAAACTTGTAAAATTCTTACTAGTCTTAAAATTAATTTCTTTTCTCCTTTATACTTCAGAAGGTTTACATTAAGTTACTTATTATTGAATGTCTGAACTTATGTAAGAATAGGACAAGGTTTATTATACAATTAACTTTTCCTTAAATTTTACTGCATCCTACTTTATTATTTATTATTATTTATTTATAGAAAATTCTTTAATATAATTTATAATATTATTTGCTTCATTTTATATTGAAGAGAAAGATGTTAGGCATATGAGAACTATATCAAGGTTTTATTATGCTAAAATGTTTCACGTTGTAATTTTGCCATACTCTCATTACCTAAGGTTTCTTAACTAAAAACTGGGGATGTACATCTATGTAGAAGAGACTACTTCATAGAAGGACAGAAAGGAGGGTTAATTTTTGACATTTTTAGTAATATCTTGAGAATATTTGTGCCTCTGATTTCAAAATTGATTTATTTTTCATATAAAATTAATAGATAATAATTGGCATTAAAATTTGTATTGATATAAAAAGAATGATATTCTTACCCAAGTATTAGGGTGCATGCATCAATTGTAGGATGTGGGAAGCCGAGACAAGAGGCTCTCCTCCAGTTCAAGGCTGACTGCTGAAACCCTGTCTTAAAATTAGAAGCAGGCTAGTGAACTCAAGGGTTGCCTTTGCCTTCCTCTGCTGGCTCTGGGGTCACAGATATGTGCTATGGAACCTAGCTTGCTGCTTTCTTCTTCCTCCTCCTTCTCCTTTTCCTCCCCCTCCTCGTCCTTCTTTTCGTAGTTTGTTCTTGCTCTGTGGCACAAGTGCCATCACACTGTGTTCAACCTTGGTAAAGGTCAGTTCGAATGGAGAATTGTATTTACTACCAACAGATGGAGTCTGTTATGATTAGCACTCTAGAGTCACTTATTAATTTGTTTTATAAAATAAAATATTATCATTTGAAGTTTGAAAATGTTAACTTTGTTATTACATTACCATTAAATTATTATACAGATTGAGGCCTCACAAGGATTATTGTAAAACTATCTCAGGGATGTTCGTTTCTAGGGGATACCCGAACCCATTTCAGAACCCCTGTGTATTGTTTTCTTGTCTACATACATTCCTGTGATAATGTTCAATTAGAATGAGGCACAGTAAGATTATCAACAATAACATACTAAAATGAACAATTCATATTTCTATATTGCACTATGTGCAAATGGTCTCTCTACTTCAAAATGTCTTATTGCTGTGCATGCTCCTCCTCCCTGTGGTGATATGGCATGGAACTCAAAGCAGTTTATGGCTCTTGTAGGCGCATCAGCATCTGCACCTTTGTGAGGTACTTGGCCGTAAGCACTACAACACTGACTCTTTAGTCAGTGAGAAGGACTAGTCCTCTCTGACTAATGGGAAGGTAGATATGCATTAAGTGGAGCAGTGATGCCCTATGCAGTGAGATTTTAGCACACTACCTAACAAGGTGCCTACATAAAATTTAAGAATTATTTCTAGAATTTACCAGTTAGTATTTCAGACCAGATTAACAGTGAGTAATTGAAACCACAGAAAGTAAAGCTGTAAGAAGAGGTGTGTGTGTGTGTGTGTGTGTGTGTGTGTGTGTGTGTGTGTGTGCGTATGTATGTGTGTATGTGTTCAGTAAAATGGGTTTACAGGATTACAAAAGGCATGCTGACAGATGGCTTAGTGGGTGAGACACTAGTTGCCAAGCCTGGTGACCTTGGTGCAGTTCCCTAAATCTAAAGGTGGGACAAGTGAACCAGTTCCCAGAAGTTGTCCTCTAGCCTTTCCATATGACCTGGAGCATGCTCTTACACACACACACACACACACTCACACACACACACTCATGCATACTCACTGAATAGAGAGATGGATATAAAAGTATTTTAAAGAACGTGTAAATGCACTTATGTACTATGCATATGCATTATGCATCGCAATTGTAAGATTGTTATTTCATGAAATAATAGGAAGCAGGTTCTGAATGGTCCCGTGACATCCGTGGTATGACACCTGTCTTCTTCTGGGGCTTTAGTGTACAGTCCAGTTTCTCAGCTAATCCAGATTTCCCAATAAGTGCCCCTTGTGTGTGTGTGTGTGTGTGTGTGTGTGTGCGCGCGCGCATGCGTGCTAGTGCACACTTGTGTTTCTATCCTACTACATTTAGTTAGGGTTTCTTTCATGAAATAGGTAGGGAAGGTTATTTACTTGAACAAGGTCAGTTTACCAGTTGCTAAACCAATGAGGAATGTGGTCCCCTCACCCTCAGCCACCATTAGTTGCCTGTAACTGAAAAGAGTGATAGAGGCGCAAGAGTCCCCTTTCACACCTGTAATGGAATGGTGACTGGCCCTGTCACATGAGGCCTTGTATAAGAAACTGCTACTGCTGTGGGTTCCTGGGTGAAACAGCAATGTCATGTTCAGAAGATAGCAGTCCACAATACTTGCTGCCACCCTTCAGCCCTATATTCTTTCTGCCCACTCTTCTGCAGTGTCCCCCAGGCCTTGGAGGAGTTGGTACAGATGTCCTGTCTAGGGCCCAGAATGCAAGTCACATATTCTCAACATATGACCAATTATGGGTCTCTCGCTTAACCCACTGCAAAAAGAGGCAGAGAGCATTGGTCTCTGAGTACAAACATAACTGTTTAGAAGGAAGTTTGACACTAGATCAGTTTAGCAGAAACAGTAGGAGATTACAAACCCACTTACACACACTCACATTCACACACACACATACGGACACACACTCACTGACACATACACACACCCACACCCACTGACATACCCACACAGACACACACATACACATACAGACACCCACTCACACCCACTCACATACCCACACAGACACACACATACAGACACCCACTCACACCCACTCACATACCCACACAGACACACACATACACATACAGACACACACTCACACCCACTCACATACCCACACAGACACACACATACACATACAGACACACACCCACACCCACTCACATACCCACACAGACACACACATACACATACAGACACACACCCACACCCACTGACATACCCACACAGACACACACATACACATACAGACACCCACTCACACCCACTCACATACCCACACAGACACACACATACACATACAGACACACACCGACACCCACTCACATACCCACACAGACACACACATACACATACAGACACCCACTCACACCCACTCACATACCCACACAGACACACACATACACATACAGACACCCACTCACACCCACTCACATACCCACACAGACACACACATACACATACAGACACCCACTCACACCCACTCACATACCCACACAGACACACACATACACATACAGACACACACTCACACCCACTCACATACCCACATGGACACAGACATGCACACACGCATACAGACACACACCGACACCCACTCACATACCCACACAGACACACACACACACATACAGACACACACCGACACCCACTCACATACCCACACAGACGCACACACACACATACACTCACACCCACACCACCCACCCACATACCCCCCCACACACACACAAGGCACACATGGCCCCATCACTTCCCCTGGCATGGGATTGTAATTACTTTTACAGTGCCAAGCAGGAATTTTCTCCTGTGGGGTAGGCCTCAGTCCAATCAGAAAGTGGCTGATGTGGGTGAAGCCAGAGCGTGTGCTGTGTCCAGCAGAAAGTCCTCACCCTCAGCAGTGACCGGCCCTGCTTGGGGGTCTCTAGTGCCTTCCAGACCAACAGCTCATAGGGAGGCATCTTGCATGCCATGTTGGCCTTCTTGTTGAGTAGTCTGAGCACCATTATCCACCTATCCAGTGTACGTCCCTTTACAGTCTTTATTGTTATTATCATTGTTACTATTGATTTATGATACAATAGGTTTCCATGTGACTTTTCAGATATCTTCATTTCTGTTAACCCTTTCCCTTTACGTTAACCCTTTCCCTTTACCTCCTCATAAAATACTTTGCAGTGTTTTTTTTTTCTATAATTTCTGCCGACTTATAGTGTGGATCATACATTATTTATGCAATTCATATCTGTCTTGAGAGAAGTCTTTGTTAAGAGGTTTTAAAATGTGATACTGTAGTTTTTGAAGAGGGATACTGAATAAGATAGATAATGAGCAATATTTAAAATACTGCAAATTTAAGAGATACAAAATATTTTCATAATAATTTAAAAATATTTAGGCAATGTATTTAAGACTTAAGGAAAACCACTTAGAAAGATAAGTTGAGGACTCTTGTTATATAAAAATTACCAAATATAAGTGTTTCTTCTCCCTTGAGAAAGTCACGTGTCTCCACAGCTCTGGTGTTGTACAGGTCTTGGGTCATATCTGATATCCAAGAATAATAAATCACTTTGTTTAGAAATTCAGTTTCTAAATTTTCTTGTTCAGTGGACCACAGCCATATTAATTGGAGATAGTTTATTACCAGAATGCTCCCATCTCAGGCCTCACCATTGCCATATCCGTTAATCTGTCTTTAAGTGTCGTTAGCAGTGAAATAGACCCTGCGTGGAAGACGAGCTTGTATAAATGGGTGTGGTGTCATTTGCTCTTTTTTTGCCTTTCAGCAGGCCTGTGTGATATTACTGAAGGGACTGTTGTCACAGAGGATCGCTGCAAATCTCCAACTTCCGGTAATCTAGTTTTTATTTCATTAACAATTAAGATTTAAAAAAAAAACTAAGATGGCTTATCAGTACAATTTTATGCATTTATAACTACATATGAGAAACATATCATTTGTCTTAAAGTCATAACAGTGTTAATAAGGGGAAATAAATGTAGCTCATGTTAATAAAAATCCATAGCTTGTGTCTGTTCAGGCTTGAATGATTGAGTGCCCAGTTAGCTTTCTTACAGATAACAGTGTTAAATTTATTTCCCACCTACCATTGAATCGATGCTCTAGCTATCTCAGATCTATGCTTCTAGATACTCCTGATGTTTAGTAGAATGAAGTAGGATCATGGAAAGTTGAATTTTTAGTTGAAAATTCACCTTTTTGATAATTATAAAGTAATGTCCAATCCAATGCTATGACAGATCCCCCCCTTTTTTTTGCTCAATGATAGGGCTCAAATCCAGGACCTTGTACATACTAGGCTAGCCCTTTGTCACTCATGACACCTCCAGAACCAAATGAAATTAAAGATTTTGATAGTTTGCTACAGTATGAAAAAATGGACTCTTAGTGAAATTGTAGCCTATTTGCATTTGTTTTTCATTTTGATCAAGGTCATTTCTTGTGTATTTATGTTCTTGTCAAAGCGGTTCTTTTTATCTGCAGGGTCTTCCTGTGACCCATGCGCATATTACTGTTTCACAGCAACATTGTTTTTACTACATTTGAGTATCCTTAGAGGTACAATCTTGAGTTTGTTATTGTACATGATTGTAGCTTTGCTAGTCATTAGTAAATTTAACATTATTATTTTAATTAAATTTATTATGTTTTCTACCTAGGAATCTTCATTAGCTTTTCTCTTAGCAAGATTTTTCTCAGCATCAGTAACCCCTTGTTTAGACTTCTGTCTTACGCCAGCCATTCTCCTGTACTGGGAAGAATTGTAGGGGTGCACTGTGCGGAGTATTTTTATCCCTGTCATAACTTCTGCTTCCACTTTGTTAGCCCTACATTGATGAAAGAGTTTGTGTTTTCTTTTTACAATTGCTTTTTTTCTGATTTTGCACAAATTGATCATTTGATGTTTCAAGCTTGAAGAGTGAACTAGGGAGAGGGACCATGGGTAAAGTGCTTGCCTTTGGGAAGATGTGAGTTTGTTCCTCAGAGTCCACACAGAAAAGCCAAGGACAGTGATTGGCTGTTGTAATCCCAGCCCTGGGGAAGTGAAGACAGTGGATCCCCTTGGTTTCCTGGCCTCCTAACCTTGCCTGTGTGACAAGTTCCAAGATAAGAGCCTCTGCCTCAGAATACAAAGTGGCCGGCACCTGAGGAATGACACCTGGGATTGCTCTTTGGCCTCCACATGTACGCTTGTGCCACACACGCATATGTACATACATGCACATGTGCACACACACACACCAACACACAGCGCACACATGAACATACACTCACATAGATATCCACACAGGTATTTTGTTATTTAAACCTCTTATTTCACTTTGCCCATTAAACTCCTAAAACATAGAGCCACAGAAGCCACACTGCTGCCTGCCTATCAGTAAAGTTGTGGACAATAGAAAGGAATTACTTTCCCTCTTGTAGACTGAAATCTTTCTAAATTTGGAGTTGGAACTGTAGTTTATCTTCATTGTTCCTTCCAAGCACATTCAGTTTATTTCTACTCTTCCTACCTTCCCCAAATACAGTTGTCAGTGTACTAAGGGCGTGAGCACAGTGAGTATTTTGGGCATGAAACATATCATTATTAAATTGCTAATTTGTTTTTTTATATTCAGCCCAAATAAGTTAATATCTCTTCATACTAGGCCAAACTTTAAAATGGCAGGTGAATGAAGCATTTAATACACAAAATTTTAGATAAATTCAAAATGATACTTAAATATAAGTATAGAAATTACATAAAATATTTATACTCTAAATCCTGCCCCAAAGATCCTCCAAGTAGAGGAAGCTCAAATGTGGCTCAACGTTTCAGAATATATTTTGCTTCTTGGTTCATATACAGACTCGGTATGATTTTAACATTGATGAGATGCTACCTGTTTTTATTGTTTCTAACATTTCTGTCAGTTTGAAATAGAGTTAAAGCTGTAACATCAAAAAGATCGATGATTAGACATGAATTCTTGTTCTTAAAAATAAAACCTGCAGTGTATTCGGATTAGCCTTTGCTCATGCTCAGATGACAGAATTCTGAGGAATCAAGTCTGTTCTTACACATCAAGAAAAAGTGTTCTTCATAAAGGGCAACTTCACAGTGATAACATCTAAAACACTGGATGTCAGTGTGCAGAGCTGAGCACACTGAAGTGGGCGCTAGAAGGCCTGTGTCAGGCCCCCTCTGGTCGCTACCGTGGCAGCCTGGACATATTTTTCCGTTATGATAGTTACTAATATTCTTTGTTGCCATGGCCTGATTATCTTACTCTTAATATTTACAATTGCTTTGCCTCATCCATTTTTACTTCCTAGTTGAGAAATAAAGGAAAAATTTGTTATCATTCATTTATCTTACTACCAAATTAAAGTCTATTGATAAAAGTGAATTAAATTTATTTGAGGTGACTCAAAAGCCACAATTTTCTTTTTCTTAATCTATTTGCTTTGGTATTTTGAGACATGCTTTCCTAGCCTGGAATTCACTATTCACACCAGGTTGGGTCCTGCCCCCTGTCTGCTGGGATTAAAAGTGAACACAGACAGCTTTTTATTTTTTTAATTGTTTTCAGTAGAGTGAAAATAACAAAAATGCTTGACTGAATTACTCACAATGAGATAATAAAATTGTTAAATGGCCATAATGAATTATTAAAAACAATAGTTGGTATTTTAAAAGTTAATATGTGTAAAAGAAAAATATATGTATAAAAGTGAATTGGAACTTAAAATGAATTCCTCAGAAGTACTGAGAAGAGATCAGTGTTTTGGAAGTGTAAATGCCCGTGTGCCTTCTGTCAAGACCAACATTGACCAAGCTTATGCATGCAGTGAAGAAAATTGAGGGTCATTTAAATCCTGTAACCAAAATAGTCAGCTGCTCAGCTAATTTCTATAAGGACTCTTTTCAGAAACCCTTTCCTAACCAGTGGTCTTCTCACAGAAGCAGGTGAACGTGACGACTGCACACTTATTTCGGGAACCACTGACTGTTTGCCCTCGCACTTGAGAAGTGGTGCAGTCTCTCTGTAATCCATCTGTTTGCATTTATATAGGCATATAGAATGCTGCGATGAGTTTAGAAATCTGCTGGGCTCTTTTCAATGAAGATTCATATATAGCTTGATAAAAACGGTGACTTTTGGTATTTATATGTGGCCTGAAAAAAATAAGAAGTTGTATATGGTTTTTGTGTTTGTTAAATTACAGTAATCTGGTAGATTTATTCAAATAAATTGGTAACTTGTCGTATGTTATCATAGAAATTACAACAACCAGTAGTAAGCATTTTCAACCATATTGCCTGTTTATGTTTAGAAAACACCAAACTTCTTTTAATATTAATATATGGACATGCTAGCCTATTATTGCTCTGATATGAAATATATAAAATAATATACACTTACCATAAATTTATGCAGCCATTTGGTATCAAAGATGACAATATTTTAAAATGTGAAGTTCCTATGGCCTTTATCCTCTTTAATTATGTTGTATTTATATGAAAAACAGCTGTCCCTGTTTCTGCTCTGGAACTGTCACTGCGGTCACCAATGGCTTTGCGATAGTTCTGAGTGAGACTGGGGAGAATCTATGGATGCTGTTAATAAAAGCAGCATAGACTATTCAGAGAGTAGTGTTTGCAAACCTCTGCATGGGCGATTGGATTCTGCCCTTGTTGGCAGGCTTTTCTTAGTGAGACTGTCTCCCTGGCCATAGTAAAGAAAGATGACTTTGGGGGAAGTCAAGTTCAAGATTTCAGGTTTCTACCTAATTAACTAAGGTTTGTTATTTTTACTGGGATTCCTTTAAGCATAAAAGGATATCTTTTTATTTGCTCTCAGTTATTTTTTATATATTTTCTTCTAACAGAAAAGCTTCATTCATTTGCCTAACACGAACTAGTGACATCTACATGAAATACACACCATTGATCACAAATGGGTTGTAAAATTGATTCCAAGTTTGTTGCAGGGAAGGAAGGTCATGGGTGAATAAATTTGAAAATACTGCATAACTAAATGGTAAATATTGTATTGGAAGTATGTAAAGTATCATGAGGACATAGAAGGGGAAGTAATCTCCAATTGGGAAGGTAGTGGATAATTTAATCTATAAGATATGTCAAGATGTACTTAATAGGTTATATTTTTCTTTCTGTGTTCTTTGACTTATAAATAATATAAAGTACAACAAGATTTTGCCTAGTTATTATGAATCAAAAATTATTAGAAATAAATTTCTATATAGTTGGTTCTGCTATACAAGACTGTATACTACTGAATGCAGTACTGGAATATTCTCAGAGTTGAGGTCACCAAGTCTGGTGGTCACCAGGATTTTAATCTGTGTTTGTTTGCTGTGCTATCACTGCGTTTGTCACTGACCATGTGCCCCTGTTCCTTCCATTGTCTTCATTTGTGTAGGTTCTTCATCACCACACAATTCAGATGATGAGCAAAAAGTGAATAATTTTATAGAAAAGGGTATAGTATCTTTATTTTAAAGTATCTTCTTTTTATACTTAATTCATTTAGTTTACTCTGAATAGATTTTGACATTTTATATTAAAATATTATTTTCAGTGAAGACCAAAAGCAGAAAGTTTTCCAAGATGGTAGCCAGTGATCTAGGTAGGAAATAGAAGTTTTTATTTGTTTCTAATTGTTGCTCTATGCAATGCTAACCAACAGCAGAAACTGATCCATTGCATTGCATCTTGTGTGTTAATTTGTTATTCCTTTGCTAAATAATAATCTTGGGGCTATGTCTATTCTTAATGCATTTGGGAAATAATTCTTAAAATCAGTTAAATTGGGTTTGTGGATCTTTCTCTGAACTTACAGTGTGAATTATTCTGTTAACTTTTGCTTTGTTTTAAAATAAAGCAGGGTTCAATTTATGCTCTAAATACCCAACTTACATTCATGTTAAACTGAGTCAGCTTTTCCTTTAGAGTTTTACTTGTATTTTTTGTGCCCTTACTCCCATCTCTCATATTTTTAAGGTCCCGTATCAAAGAAACAATCTTCTGAAAGATGGCATTTTTCAGTCTATAATAATACTGGTGTCAGGGTGTTTGGCAAGTTTACTACTGAACACCTCCCATGGACGAAAATCTTTATTCTACTCTTGATGTTTTGTGCATATTTTGTAATGAGTTCCTCAGTCTAAGATCCTTGAAGTTTAAAGCCTAAAAATAAATATATAACCACCAGGCTTGGAAACATAATCAAATTAGAATTGTCTTATTTGGTCATAAAAATTTAAGGATGCTCAAAACTTTGAAAGTCTTGACAAAATAATATTTAGAAAAGCCCTAGTTCATCTTTGACTTAACCATGAAACGTTCATTATACAGTTAATATGCTGTTGTTATATTTTTTAATTTTCCCTACACCATTGCCACATTTGTTTTGATTTTTGTTTTTTTTTCTTTTTATATTTTTGGGGTTGTTGGGCATATGTGTATGTGCATGATCATAGTATGAGAAAATCACTTGTGTGTACGTGTGTGTGTGTATGTACACATACTTGTACACAGGACAACCTGTTTGTAATTCCTCAGGAGCCATCTACTTTTTTTTGTTCCTTTTGCTTGGCTTGGCTTTGCCAGAGACAGGGCCTTTGGCCTGGAGCTCACCAAGTCACTAACTGGATTGGCCGGCCAGGAAACCCCAGGATCTCTTTCTCTGCCTGCTCAGCTCAGGGACTGTTAGTGCACAACACCATACCCAGCTTTTTTATGTGGGTTCTGGGAATCGAACTCAGGTCCTAATACTTGTAAGACAAGCACTTCTACCAAGCGAGTGTATCAACATCCCTACCACATACTCTTCTAATGGAGTAAAGAGGATGAGTTTCTCTATGACTGAAAGAGGTTTGCTTTCTCTCACTTTATAACCTTGAATATATGGTTGAATTTTCAAAAATTCCCGCAGGAAAACCCTTATTTTCTTAGCATTGTAAATTGAACCCTGTTTAGATAGATTAATGGTGAATAACTGTTAGTCTTCTGGTCAATCTTAAATAAAATGGTTTATTCTCGGGCAAAATGCTTCTTATCAATTATTTACTCTTTATTGTGGTTTTCTAGTAAATCTTTTGGTAATAATAATTAAATCACTTTAATTATGTACTAATTGTGCAGCTAATTTCCTTTATAGCATTTTGTATCCTGTTACGTTCTGGTTCTGTCACCACTGTAGAAGTTCTTTTCTGCAGCAGTTTTTCTGTGTAACGTATACTGGTAAATTGCCTGACCTGAAAGAACTTGCAGATGGTTAAATTCGTTAATGTAGCCTCTGCCTGATGTCTATTATACTGCAATATAGCTTTATTAATGTGTGCCTTCCCCTTGTTTCTGTTTCAAGTAGATATATGACTGGAAATATTTGTGTTCCTTTATTTGAAAAACCTTATGAACAAATTTTCTAGGCTAGACAACACGTGTGAAAGGCTAATTCTTGGATAGTGTTCATTTCTTCTACATTCTTTGTGTTTTTTCTTTCTGTAATGCCAACTTTTTTAGGATTGCTTCTTAGGAAATGTGTTGACTTTATCCAGCTATCCAAAGTTATACTAGTATGTGACTCTTCCTAATTATTTTTAACCAGGAACATTTTCCTCATTTGCAGTATCTTTATTGTATATTGGAAGATTTTGTAGTGTGTCTTTCTTGATTTAACAATTTTGGTATATAAAAATAAAGCTAACATCTCAAGGTTTTCCTTCTTCAAATGAAGTGTGCCCCAAATTCTATTGTGAAGGTTTTACAGTTGAAATGTTCTCCATTAGATATGTAATCTCTGTATTACCTTTCTACATTACTATCTATTTTATAATAATAATTACCACAAAACATGCAACTAGAACTTGGATGTGGAGAGGTGGCTCAGCATCAGTTAAGAGCACTTATTGCTCATATATAGGACGCAAGTTCAGTTCCCAGTGTCCACATCTGATCCCCTTCTCACCTCCAAAGTCACTAGGTACATGCAAGGAAAGCACTCCTACATACAGAAATTAAAATATGTTTCTCATCTTAAAAATAAAAACCACTTTGGCTTCCTCTGCATTGCCAGCATAACACAGAGCACCCACAGACATGTTTTAGGTGACTTTGCAGTAGCCTTGTGAAGTGAGATCGGGACTGATGGGAGAACTGCCTGCGATCATTGACTGAACTGCATTGTTCTTAAGTTTCTCATGTTGGAGAATAATCGGTGCTGGCGCCAGAGATTGTATGTGGGCTGCTTGAGGTGGTACAGCGTGCCTTTCATACATTAGAATTATTTTTAAGTTTATTTCATTGAAATAAATTTTTTTCATACAGTATATTTTGATCATGTTTTCCCTTCCCCCAAGCATGGGAAATAAACCTTTTTTTTCTTCCTTATCATTGCCTTGATATCGAGGAAGATGGCTCAAACGGCTTTTTAATACGATTATCTATGTGTTATTCTTAGCATCGCACCGGTACTTAGTAATCTCAGGACTGTTATTTCTGTGTTTTACAGATGAGGGGACTGGGTGTGAGTTAGCTGTTGGCTCCACAGCCAAATGACAGAGCAGAATGTAAGCCAGGGTCCAGTTCCACTGCTGGCACTGTGTGTACATGGGAAACATACTGTTCAATCCATTGATAGATAATCTTGCTATGGCCCTGATCTGATACACAATAATCTGGGGAGAATGACTCATTACCAAATTCTATGTGTAAGTTTTACATGGTTTTTATAATAAAGTTTATAAAACTGTAAAATACATTTATTGAAGAGAAACAGCAAATTCTGTCTGAATGCCAGATCTTGCCCACCACTTTGGTACCATTGCCTAAGCATATTATATAGTTCTTAGAAGTCTGTCTCAAAGACAAGGCTCAAGACAGTGAACAAGAGTAAAGCGGAATACACTGACCCCTGAACCCAGAGCCCCTCTTCATCTCTTGGCTCCTTATTGCAGCTACCCCAGGAAATGGCTCTGGCAATGACTTCTTCACTTTTGTGTAAGACGAGCAACCTCTAAAGAAATTAAAGCAGAATATAATGCAGCAACATCATGCACAAAGGAAGTTACATGCATGTATTTCACATGTAGCATGCTTTCCTCTTCATGTTATAGTAATATCTTAAAGACCAGTAATTTTCAAATAAACAACTTTTCTTTAACTGTTAACGGTTTCCATAAATCACTGTTTTTATTTACTCTTCATTTACATTTTATAAAGATTTAGAAGTGAGATTCTACAAATAAAAAAAATGATAGTTTGGCTTACGTAGAAATGGTTATACATAGAAATATTATGTAATAACACACACATATATAACATTCCAAGATATCCTTGTGTATAGTCTATGATCCATATGCTAGCACTACTTGGTAAGAAAATCAGAATTAACTTCCTGGAGATTCCTATTTGGTGATTATCCTGTTTCATGCCATGCTAAAAGTAGATTTCTAGTTGCTTCTTATGGTCTTATCTTGCCTCGAGGTCCATTTTAGTTTCTGTGTGTCAAGAAAGATGACCAAATTGCCTGAATGTGTAAAACCAGGGGGAGGGGGAACAATCTTAGAAATTAAAGAATAAATATTCAAAAGTAATGCTACTTAGTAAGTATTGTGGCAAAACAAATAGAAATACAACTCTATTTTTAATGGACTCCTCTCTGTGTTACCTGGTAGGTAATTTTTATTCTATGGCATTGGTTAATGGAGAAGATTAAACCTCAGGGGCCCCTTATCTCTCCAATTCTAAGAGCATGGATATTCAGTCAATGGCTCATTTCTCAGTAAAGTCTGGAGTCATTTTTGAGTCAGTGTAAGTGACGTGAGTGCTGTCCACTGGTCATGTGCTCTTTTTATTGGTTCTTTTCATATAAGTCCTGATGGCTCTAACACAGCTTAAATTTCCTCTCTTTGCCTTTCTTTCTGCAGACTTTAATAAATCCTACAGCTTCAGTCTTCTCACCCTTGTTTACCTCAGGAAACATGATACTCAGAGAAGCTAAATGCTGTGTCCACAGTCTGCCTCAGTGGTGCTGTGCCCGCAGTCTTCCTCTGTGGTGCTGTGCCCGCAGTCTTCCTCAGTGGTGCTGTGCCCACAGTCTTCCTCTGTGGTGCTGTGCCCGCAGTCTCACTGGGTGGTGCTGTGCCCACAGTCTCACTGGGTGGTGCTGTGTCCACAGTCTTCCTCAGTGGTGCTGTGCCCACAGTCTCACTGGGTGGTTCTGTGTCCACAGTCTCACTGGGTGGTGCTGTGCCCACAGTCTCACTGGGTGGTTCTGTGTCCACAGTCTTCCTCTGTGGTGCTGTGCCCACAGTCTCACTGGGTGGTGCTATGCCCACAGTCTCACTGGGTGGTGCTGTGCCCACAGTCTCACTGGGTGGTGCTGTGCCCACAGTCCCACTGGGTGGTGCTGTGCCCACAGTCCCACTGGGTGGTGCTGTGCCCACAGTCTCACTGGGTGGTGCTGTGCCCACAGTCTCACTGGGTGGTGCTGTGCCCACAGTCTCACTGGGTGGTGCTGTGTCCGCAGTCTCACTGGGTGGTGCTGTGCCCACAGTCTCACCGGGTAGTGCTATGCCCACAGTCTCACTGGGTGGTGCTGACCTCAGGATCAGCTGAGTTGGTGGACACTGGGTTATAAAGTTCTACAGTTAAAAGGGTTTGGAGACAAAATAATTAGCAGAAGTACGTAATTAAAATGTTTTGAAAATTGTAACAAGATGATAGTGAACAATCTTCCTAGTCATTATATGTGTCCTTTTATCTTCTCGGTATTAAAAAAATACCGAAATATTTGCTATAGTCCATATTTTATATAATAAAGAAATCATAGTGCTAGACAGAAGTTTTTATTTTATTAGAGAGATTTGTTTACATTTCTAAAGATACCTGAGGTTATATGAATTTCTTCTAGTGGAAATCCTAAAGAAAGCAAAAGTATTTAATGAAATTAAGAATTTTGTTACTAAAATTTTTTTTAGCAGGACCACAAGTCGGATTATTGAAAGTATTAATAAAACATTTCTAATTAATAAATGTTCATTTCATGTAAATTACTTCAAGAGAGATAAACTTGTTAGTTGTGATATTTCTTTTTATATATATATCTGTTGAATTTTGGATTTGAAATAACTTAAAAGGTTGAGCTAGGCATCATGGTGCACACCTTTAATACCAGCACTTGGGAGATAGAGGCAGGTGGATCTCTGTAAGTTTGAGGCCAGCCTGTTCTATGGAGTAAGTTCTAGGACAGCCAAGACTGTTACATAGAGAATTCCATCTCAAAAACAAACAAACAACAACAAAAACAGTTGAGTAATGCATGAAATTCTATATGTTTGTCTTAAAGGTCCCTCGCCTCTTTTACTAGAAATGTCATCAGGTTTAGGGTAAGGAAGCATCACAGATGCAGTAACAAGTGATGAATGAACACAGTCACATCTGAGAATGGGTCCTAGTGGCTCACAATAATCTGACCAAGCAGAGTAGTGGGGTCAGAGAGATGAGAAAAGGGTCTTTTAAAAATTATATTTGAGCTATGTAAGCCAGATTTTTCTATTTCATGTTACTTATCAATCTATCCATATCGGCCCTGTGATACCTGGTGAAAGTTTCTGTGAATTCTTTGTAAGTGTTGACTTAATAATATTGCCTTTAGAGCACTGTTTGAGGGACACAATGTTTTCTGACTCCAAGCATATTGTACATCAAATACAGTAGCACTCATGTATATAAGGTCAACAGTTATGGTTATCTTCAGCTGCTTTGATTGTGTGTTACCTTTATCTCTTGTCTCAGATTTGGAAAGCTGGTGAAGATGAGACAGCTGATGGATAAACGTGGCCAGTTGTTTTGTTAGAATATTCTAATTAGCTTAGTCAAGCTAAGAAGTAACAAGCTGACTCTCCTCCCCCGCCCTAGGACCTTTCCAGCCTACCTTATGCCTATTCCTAACGTTGGATTTGTGGTTTTTTTAGATGTGGAAGTCATGTACTGTGACTGGATTTCTCTTTGTTTACATGGCGCCCTTGTGGACTAGCAGGGTCTGTGCTTTAAGTATCTCCTAACCGTCCCAACTGTAACCAAATGTGTGCATTTGTGTATTAACCAGTATTTTTTTTTCATACTTTCCCATTGGGAGCACTAGTCTATGCCGCATGCCATACCACTAACAAATAGATGTAGCAAACTGACTCCTAACTTTAAACCACTTCCTAAATGAAGGCAATAACTGATTTTGAGGATGGAAAGTGAATTCCATGAAACTTATGGATGAAGTTTAGAAGTTTCTTTTATATAAAAGGACCGTATTGATATTTAATATAAATACCATAATTTTAGATTAAGTATGACTTTGTGTTTTTCTCACTAAAATAGAAATGGAAGTATTAATTTATGTCAGATAGTGATTCCATCAAATATGTTAATTGCATAAATACTTTGATTTGTTTAGAGATATAAGCATGTCTTATATTCTAAAAATTAACTTTAAACAAAAACAAGGAGTCCAATACCCAGGAGCCAGGAGCTAGGAAAATGTCTGTCACGCGCCCTAGCTTGTACTTTTGGCTGTTGCCTCGTCTGCAACACATCCTCTGAGGAGTGGTTTTGCTCCGTAGTCCTGAGCAGTAACTGTTTGTAAGTTAAGAGTTTAAAATGCTGCCTTGAAGTAAGAGCTTCAAGCATACAGAGATATTACATCAAGTAAGTACACACTTTTAGAAATATTTAAGATTTACTTTCCACTCCTGATATCATTTTAAATGTATGTTAATTATCTCAGGGTCTAGATTCAGTAATAAAACTATTCACTTCTCTCTTGAAAATCAGTTGCTATGATAAATATCAGTCAAATATTTCTCAGAATTTTAAAAATTTATTTTGTTTTTCAGCAAAGATGTCAAGGAAATTAAGCTTGCCAACTGACCTAAAGCCCGATTTAGGTGAGTAGAATAAATATGCAAAGTAATTGAACTTAATAGTAGGAAAGTGGAGATCAGAATATTACAGATTATTGTAATGCAAATCCCACTGAAAGTCAATGTTACGATGATCCCTGATGTAACACCTTTTAAAACAGCATTTAGGATGCACACTCAGGCAAGACAAAATCCATATTTCCTTGTTTCTCTTCCTTTTTTCTAAGTAAAATTTTCTCAATTACAGATTAGTTTTTACTAAAACTGTTTATATTCCATCCGTTCAAAAACCATTTTAAACTCTACAAACTTAATTTTATACTAGTTTAATATTTCTGAAATAGATAACTAGTTTTTCATATCGAACAGTTTCTTGTTAAGCATTGTCATTGTTGGCTTGGATGTAATTTAGAGATACTCCCTATGATACTTCATGCAGCTCCTTTATTCTGAAGTCAGTGGGAAGAGTCCATCCACACACTGTGCTTTAGTCTCGGAACGGCTCCCAGGCTTTCGTGTAGAGGATTGCAATAAGGGAACAAGATCCATGTAGTACAGGTGAAGCCACATTTCCTCTAGACCCCTCCCTGAAATGCCCGTTTAGTTTGGTGGAAGAAGTAGCAGTGAAGGGTGCTTTTCCTGAGCGTGGTCTTAAGGATGACTGCACTGCTTTCCTTAAACCTTCCTCTGTACTAACTGGAGTCCTCGTCAGACTCAGGCATCAGACTGAGCACAGTGTGTGGGTACCTTCCCATTGATCCCATAGTGAGTGAGCTACATAAAAGTATTATAAGAGAGTATTTCTAAATTATTGTCAACAATGACAGTGCTTCATAAGAAATTTGTTCTGTATGCTATAACATACTAACGTTAACCTATCTCTCACCATTTTCTTTACCTCTGTTGTACTGAGAGGAAGCATGTGGTAATCAGTAGAGGCCTGTTATATACATAGGTATCATCAGTAGGAGTTCTGACTGTAGGAAATCCAATTTAGTATAATTCTACAGTACCACTCTTAAAGGGGAATGAAATTAACCATTGAATATAAGCTAGCTCCTGTTTCCAGAAGAGCAATGTCCTTTATTATAAAAATGAAAATCTGAGTGCCATGTAGATGTAGGTATGTGTGTGTGTGCGTGCGCATGTGTGTGTGTATGTGTGCGTGTGTGTGTGTGTTATGTGTGCGTGTGTGTGTGTGTGTGTGAGAGAGAGAGAGAGAGAGAGAGAGAGAGAGAAGAGAGACGGGGAGAGACAGAGAGAAAGAGAGAGAAAGAGGGGGGGGAGAGAGAAGAGAAAAGAGGGAGGGAAGGAAGCATGGAGAGGGAGAAAGAGAATTGTTAAAGACTAGGTTTAATTAAAAACATTTATGTATAGTATAACTATAGAAGTAAGATTTGTAACTAAAAAAATGAAAGTCATAATTTAAACTCAAGCATTTCTCAGACTGTGTTGTACATGTTTGCTCTAGAAGAGGATCCAGGATATTCATCACACATTTGGAGAGGGTCATGATTTCAGTACCATTCAATATTGCCACTTAAGCTGACTGTGAGTCGTTCAGTATCTTTAAAAGTCTCATATTCTCAAGTACTCATTTCAAAGTGCTTTTTAAGCTAGTTGAGTGTGTATATTTGTGTGTGTGTGTGTGTGTGTACGTCTATTACAATAAACTTTCTTTTTGTTTTTGTGAGACAAGGTTTCTCTGTGTAGTCCCAGCTGTCCTAGAACTTGCTTTGTAGACCAGGTTAGCCTCGAACTCACTGAGATTTTTAGCCTCTGCCTCCCAAGTGCTGGGACTTAAGGTGTGTGCCATCACCGCCTGGCACAGTCAATTATTTTTAAAAACACATACTATCTGTCAAATCATAGAAATCATTCAGTCAGTGTATGCCCACCCTGCTTTCATAAGCCTCTTTAGACCTCTTTCATTACTAGTTAAATAGTGACAGTATTTTTCAAGGTGATTATATAGATTCAACAAAAATGGTGATATATAATATTATGATCATACCTGGATTTTGGCAAGCCTTGTTCTATTCTAGCCATTGTCATTTCTGTTCTTCATACTAGAACTGCTAAATATTGTCTAATAGTCCTTTTGTTATGCCAGCTTTTAAAAGTTGAGACAAGAAAATCCAGAGTTTGAAACCAGTCTAATCTACACACTGAGGCAGTGTCTCAAACAAACAAATTAATTAACTGTTCTATTTTGTTTAGCTTGCTCACTTTCTAAGAATAAATCAAGTCACAGATACCCATTCCAACTGAATAGGTGGAGTCGTGTTTCATGAAACACTGAGAATTCTAACTTAATTTTAAACAGTTCTAGATAGATGATAAATAGGCAACTGATGTCCATCAAGATGGAATTTTGTCATTACGACAAATCCATTTTTCTCATATTGATATAGCCTGAGGAGTTTCTCTGGTGATATAATTTTTATAGGTAACTCATATACTAAAAACTGCTATATAGTTTAGTATTTTAAAATTAAATCAGTCTATTAAATTAATACATTGTATACTTCGCTGAATTAACATTCAAATTTTAAATTATTGTTAACTGCCCTATAATATTAACAAATATGTCGTTTTCCACATGTTAGTTTACAGAAATTTGTACTGTCAATTTTTCTTGTAGCATTACTTTCCGTTCTTACCACTAGGGCATAACTAAATTTGTCTGTCCTTTAGGTGTATTGTTTATGTAACAAAACATATTATCATTGGAAAATACATTTAAATTTTAATTTTGAGAAGTAACTTTGGAGATTTGAAAACATGCATAAATTCTTATAGTTAGTATTTTTTATTAAAAATGAAATGAAGTTTATTCCCTGGCAATGCTGAAGCATGCATGGGCAGCCTGTATGTGGCGGTTCTATTGAACTTGTCCATATTGGGTGTCGTGGTCTGAGTTGATGAGGATGACTGACCAGGTCTCTTCCTCAAGAGGTCACCAGGCCTCATTACAGATGGTTGTGAGCCATCATGTGGTTGCTGAAAATTGAACTCAGGACTTTAGGAAGAGCAGGAAGTGCTCTTAACTGCTGAAATGTGGTATTTCTAGATTATGGAAAGTTTTGTTTCATTTACATGAACGGCTTTAGTTATTTTCTGTTGCTGTAACAAAATACCCAATTCTTTAATAGTTTATTTATTAATAATTTATATTTTAAATATTTGCTCACTGGCACCCTCATCTGCTTCTTTCTTATGGTCAGAGCTTTCTGGCTCTCATAAGATGTACAATATCAGAGTGGGAAAGTGTGCCAGAGGGATAGGTCATGTGGTCGCAAGGCTAGAAGTGAGACAGACAGGGGCCAGGCTTACAGCTTGTTCGCCAGTACTTCCTGTGGCAGCCAGTCCAGGGTTCCTTGAGAACTGCATGCATGTCCTCTGTGGGCGATGCCACAGTGGCTGCTAAGCTCCCACTGGGCCCTGCTCTTAAAGACTTTGTCAGGTCAGCATTGGCACTCTGGGGACGAGACTCCCAGTCACCCGTGTCAGGGTGACACACTCACTCCTGTCCACACCAGAGCAGTCATCTTTTCCTCCATGGTGTCACCTGTCAGGGAAGGACACACCTTTGAACAAAAGAAAGGCAATGTTGAGAAGCTGCAGTTAGATACGGCCCTGGCTGCTGTCGTTACTAGTGAGTTAGAGGCTTGCTACCATCCAAATCTGCCACATGAAATTATTGGGGAAATATTTTCTATTTATGAGTCTAAACTTGTTTGCAGGAAGCCCATGGAGTATCAGGATTGGGTTATACCTTTTTATATTACTAAGATACACCTTGGAAAACTTTCCTGCACTTTTAATTAGTGACATTAAACAGCATTGAAAGCCGTGATTTCAGAAGTGAGGTGCACTAGGATTGATTTATGGAGGCCTCTGGGAATTTTAATACACCTAATGACACCATTGAACAAAATGGCTTAAAGTATCGATTATCGATCCATCTTTAGTAAGTGTTTGTTGAATAAACTTCATAAGTGAAACATTAGCAAATTCTGCAGAGCATCAAAACAATACCATCCTTGCACTCCAGCAGTCTTAGAACAGGAAATAAGACAAGTCAGCAATAGCTGTGGGACAGCTATGGGAGAGAACAAGCCCCAGTAGCTTAGAGTCAAGGGCAGAGAGCAAATGGATGGCGACTTCTCCGTCTCGCCCACTCCCACTGGGCCGATTTCTCTCTGCCCGCCGGGTCCCTGCAACCACTTCTGAAATAATCACGCAAAGGCTAGTATATTAAATATAATTGTTTGGACAATGGCTTAGGCTTCTTATTAGCTAACTCAGACAGCGCCCAATGGCTAGTACCCCAAAAGTTATTGGCCGAATGAATTCCCACAACGGCAGAGGCCTAAAGAATGGCTGAGATGCCAACTGTTGCTGGCACTAAAGGGTCAGATGCAAGAAGATCCCAAAAGTTAAATACGGGTTAGGTTTGGAAAAAACCAGGAGTCTCCACTTAGGTTCCATAACAAACTAAAGAGGCTTAACATCTGAGACAGAGCCAGGAACTTATGCTCGAAGTTTGTTGAGAGGCTCTGGGCGATCATAGTAAGACTGAGCATGATCAAATAGACAAGTAGAAGCTACTGAGGGATGTTTTTAATCACAGTGATTATAATTGTGCTGTGTAAAACTGAGATGTATTAGCAGTGAGAAACTAAAGGAGGCGTTGTCAGTCTAGGTAAATGGAGATGAGAACCTGAATTTAAAATAATGGAACTAGATTGCCGACAGAAAAAAAGAAAACAATATTGCCACGGAACTCAGCATCCCCACTCTTGTGTGGGTAAAGTGAAAGCATGGAAGCAGGGCTGGGGCCTACTGGTTAAGGTAACCCGAAATTCAGCAACGTCAGCAGAGGTTAAAGCTCTGTTGATGATAGGATTTCTTAGGAGACAAAGCAGAGAGCGTGCCTGGTAAGCATTTGGGCATGCTCAGAGAAACGAGGCCAAGGCTTCAGATGGAGTTAGAACTGAACCTAAGAAGCTAGTGGAAGAAAAATAGTGAGTATAATTTTCAAATATATACTGGTGAAGGTTCAGTAGACAGAGAACCCGTGCAGCAGCGCACAGCCGTCCTAACTCTGCATCCAGATGACTGCTACCCTCAGGGACAGACATTCAGGCAGGTTAAAATGTAGTGAGTGGCTGCAGTACTACAGGCAAACTTGACTGGAGAAATATGCCTGGCATTAAAAGTGAGCCAGGTACCACGTACACATATTGAAGCCAAATATCGTAGATGAATATTTTCTATCAAGGGAAATCTTCCTCTGGTTTTTATGGTGTTCATGTGAACAAACAGAAACAGACGTGGTTCAGCCTTCAAGCACTTCTAGGTGCAGACTGTACACGTAAAGAAGTGAAGGGATCTTCCCATCTCTACTTTTATCTAATCATGTCTTCTGATGGCCAGGAAGTAACAGCCCTGCAAGGACAGTGGGTGCTGGATACAAAGGTCATGCAGAGGTCACACATTCTGGCTGCTCTTCTGAAACTTAATTTGCATTTTGTATATAAGCAAAAAGGAAATTTAATTAACATAAAAGTAAATTGTTTATCTTTTCACCTGAAAGGACATTAAAAGCTACACATGCCATAGATTTTGCTTTGGGGAAAATTTAAGTACTTGATCAAATTTGAAACAACAACAACAAAAGTGTGACATGTTATAAGTAAAACTATCGCACATTTTAAATCATTTCAGATATAAAAGATAATTCCTTCAGCAGATCGCGGAGTTCAAGTGTAACCAGCATTGACAAGGAATCCCGAGAGGCCATCTCTGCTCTTCATTTCTGTGAAACTTACACTCGGAAGGCGGACTCTTCCCCGTCCCCATGTCTGTGGGTGGGAACAACACTGGGAACAGTGTTCATCATCACACTGAACCTTCCTCCAGGGCCCGACCAAAGACTCCTTCAGCCAGTGATTGTGTCTCCAAGTGGTGCGTATGCCCTGGCTCTGCATGCAGATGGTGCCCCGTGTAGGACATGCTCTGACCCAGTTAGCACTTACTGATCTAAGCACTGTACGGACAAATGCTATTAGTGGCAGCTTTCTGTTTTAAGAAATAAATTTTCTAGGGCTATGGAGAAGGGTCAGCCAGTAAAATCATTTGTCACTCAAACCTACTAACTTGAGTTCAGTTCCCCAGAACTCAGCATGAGCACATCTGTAATCCCAGCACTCCCGTGGCAGGTAAGAGGAAAGACAGGGAAACTAGCCCAGAGCTCTCAGGCGAGCCAGTCTGGCCCTGCCTCAGAAATAAGGAGAAGGAGAGACTCAACTCTCCACGTTGTCCTCTCTCTTCCACAGGTGTCTGTGTCCGCAAATTAGTTTTAATGTTTTTAAGGAAAATAAATTTTCTAGTTCTACATTAAACAAAACACCTAATCATTCATTATTAATCAGATATGTGTGAGCAGAGTTAATTATTTGATTAATTTATAAATTATTAACTGTTGACATTATGTTTGGAGCATGTAAGGATGATATATTTTTCCAGACTCATAAGTAACATGGCTTGAGTTTATGATTTTTCTCAGTAACCTGATACAGTTACATATTCAGTACAGGGTGCACCCAGCATATTTGTGTGTATTTAGTGTCAGAGTTGGAATAAGCATATTTACTCTGAATTTAAAAATGGAAGTATATACTAAACTTCTACGTTCTAGGTACTATATTGAGGTTAAAAGGTGCAATCTTGAGAATGGCATTTCTGGATGCCACGGGCTGCTTAATGCCACCTGCGTCCGAACCCTGGAAAGAGCACAACGTTCCCGAAGAAAAAGACGAAAAGGAGAAGCTGAAAAAGCGGCGCCCTGTCTCAGTGTCCCCCTCCTCTTCTCAGGAAATTAGTGAAAACCAGTATGCAGTGATATGTTCTGAAAAGCAAGCTAAGGTCATCTCACTGCCGACCCAGAACTGTGCGTACAAGCAGAACATTACTGAGACGTCCTTCGTGCTTCGTGGAGATATCGTAGCATTGAGCAACAGTGTCTGCCTCGCCTGCTTCTGCGCCAACGGCCATATTATGACTTTCAGGTATGAAGAGGTCATTTCTTAACACATACAGCATTCCTGCTTGGATCACAGTATAAATTCAGCTTGAAAAAAAATATTGAGTTGTTCATCTTATACACTAAGAATTTATTTCTATATAGGTAATATAGCAAACAAGGGTATGAGCAATGCAAACCCTATTTTCCCTCCCTCAGCTATATAAACTAAATGATTTGTCAGCCCCAGCCTTTTTTTATTGTTTTTCATGAATTTTCTAGATGAGCGTTCAGAGTAGTGGTTTTGGCTGTCACATCTTCATGCATAGTGTTACTGTACAGTGTACCCACCCTACGGATAACTTGCTGCCTGTTACTAACAAGTTGTTCACTTTCCCTCAAGTCTGCCGAGCCTAAGGCCTCTGTTGGACGTCTACTACTTGCCCCTCACGAACATGCGGATAGCCAGGACCTTTTGCTTCACCAACAATGGACAAGCGTTATACCTTGTTTCACCTACAGAAATCCAGAGACTCACCTACAGTCAGGAGACGTGTGAAAATCTTCAAGTGAGCAACACAAGTATTAGAACTTTTATAGAACTTAAGGATTCTCTGGGGGCCCTCATACTATCTGTGTCCTTTTCTCCTGGAATGCCCATTGGAGCCAATGTAGGAAACTCAGAACCTTTTTGTTTGGTTTATGTTTTGCACATTATTTTTGTATGCTGGGCTGCAGAGGGTAGTTTTCATGTAGGCATACAATATACATGGGGCTTACACCCACATCCCTTTGCCTTTTCTTCTTTGCCTGCCCCCTAATTAGTCCTGATTATACCCTATACAGTATGTTTTTCTTCTTCTCACATGTCTTCTATACATACACAGTTTTATAGATCAATAGAAAATCTAGAGCCTACAAGTAAGAAAAAAGACATGTAAGTTTTGTCTGAGACTTACTTAATTTGTTTAACACAACTATCACAATAGATCACCAAGTTACCTTTTAACCCTAAAACTATAAAGCTTCTAAAAGGAAATGAAAGGGAAAAGGTCTTTGTCGCCTTGGGTTAGCAACGGCTTCTTAGCTGCAGCCCAGCATCTTTCTGTTATGAAAACACAACTGATAACGTCAGAGCATAAACTCCTACTCTTGTAGAAATTAAGACAAGCCAAAGCCATATTAAGACATTGGTAGCGCCTCTTTCCAGTCAGACTTTGTGTTGCCAGCATATAAAGGACGTGTTCCTTTCCAGCCGCATCCCTTCATCTTCTTGTCCCTGTGCTCTCATGAAGACTGCAAACTCTGTAGTGAAGGAAATGCAGAGGGCTGAGTGGGAAAGAGTGGAGCATTTATTTCCTCTAGTGTCATGTTGGCCGTAGGCTCCTTGGCTACTCCATTCCTCTCTCCAAACTTGCTCTTATTTTTCTTCTGTCTGAAGAATGTTGACCGTAGTTCAGGGGAAGACTGTCAGTGTCAAAGCTGCTCCTCCCTCTTCCTGTTAGTTTCTGAATTTCCATGTGTCACATGATGTTTGTGGAAATGACATGTTTATGAAAATGAAGTTGACCTGTCTAAATGACATTTCTCTGGTGCCACGCAAGATAACAATTCTGAAACTGACTATGGCCATTGTTACCCTGAATGACTTGGCCTGCTGGTAGAGAATGTTCTGTTAGAAGAAAATCTGGTTATCTTTTAATTATCAGATTCTTGAATTAGATTTAAAGGTTATCTTGAAAATCAGATACTCTCTGGGCATGGCATTGCAGTCCCAGAACTCAGAAAAAGATCTTGTGTTCCCGACCAGCCTGGGGTACATACCAAGACAGTCTCAGGCACAAGTTAGGTCCCCTCACCCTCTAGGCAGGCCTACTGTCTTGACTCATGCTAACAAAGAATCAATGGGAGGGGAAAACAATAGATTGTCCTAGTAGATCTGTTAGAGTGAGCCAGTGTGTTTCTGCTCTGACCACTTGGAATTGTCTTGTGAATTGTTAGGAATCTCCAGGAATCGTCACTACATCGCGACATTTACAGTGGTGACCTTGATAATTACATTTCTGTTTCCCTGGATCTTTAACAGTGTAATTGGTTTTGCTTTTAAAGGAGATGCTGGGTGAGCTCTTCACTCCTGTAGAAACACCAGAGGCACCCAACAGGGGTTTCTTTAAAGGCCTGTTCGGAGGTGGCGCACAGTCTCTGGATAGAGAAGAGCTATGTAAGTCGGCTAGTTTAATTTGACTTATGTTCCTATAAGGCAAACACGTTCAATTTGTATAAATATTTTGTTACATGTATAAGCTATGCTTACTTTTTCATATTTATCGCAATAATTGATATACTCATAGTTTAACAAAAGGCGTAAAATTCCTGTGTCATTCTATTTTTCAATCAGGAAAATGTTTTTCTCAGGAAACCAAAATCAGCACAACTTCAAATGGCTAAAAGAGGGTGTTTACAACTTTTAATTGGTAGTTTAGAAATCATGTTCTTTATTTATATTACATGTGATCTTTATTGTTTTATTTTTTGATTACCATTAATTGATGAGTGTGTTGTAGTTCTGTCACTTTTATAAAACACCAGAGAGAAGTTGACAGAACGGGAAAAAGTTGGTTTTATTTGTTTGGGGTGTTTTTCCTGCTACTGGGAGTTGAACCTTGGGCTTTTCGTGTGCTGGACAAGCCCTCTTCCACTGTAAGCCGTAGCCCAGGATTCTCTGTGGTTTACATTTCCAACTTCCAGCTGGGTGAGGAAGAACAGTCGGCTGGAAGCAAAGCTTGTTTCCTCATAGCAGCTGAGAAATGGAGAGTAAGGAGTGACCAAGGTTTTACTGTCCTCATCCAGGGCAAAATAACCTGTAGCTAAGACTTTACCAGTACCAAGTTCTAGGACTTGCTGAATAAATCAATACATGAAACCTTAAAATGAGATCTTTATACGTTATTATTTGTCTTAGTTTTCTGACACTGCTGTTACTCCACAAATTTATTGACCTAAAACAACCCAGCTTACTAGCCTTCAGTTATGTCTGTTAGAAATAACCACAGTTTATCCTGGTGCCACCATCGCTGTGTTCTTCATTTGGGGGCTCTGGGGTAGAAGGCATTTCCTTTCTTGTTCAGCGTCTGGAGGTCATCTCTATCCCATGGCGCCCCATCTTTTTCTCACTCTGCAAGGCAGTATCACATCTCTCTGCTTTTCTGAATCTGTGTCTCTCCATGCCCACCAAAAGCACAAAAACACTGTGCTCTTAAGAAGTCCTGTGATTTGATTGCAGTCGCCTAGATGATGCACACTCACCAGGCCAGGTCAAGAGTCTTAGCTCAATCACTTGTGGAGCCCTTTTCTATGATAGGGTACCATATCCCTGCCTTCCAGAAATTGAAGTGTACCCATCTTGAGGAAGGGGGCATTTTTTTTTATCTCACAATAGTTACTTATTTCTAGAGAAATTTAGTCAATGGTTAATTTCAGTAGAACGGGGCTGGCCTACCACACACAAGGTCCTGATTGGATGCATACGTGGATGCACGAACTAGAAATAAATGTTAACAAAAAGTAAAACTTCCATTTGGGATATTAAATTTTGTAACACTTGTTGAGAGAAGTTAAGATTGAATGGATTTGAATACTGCCTTCTTGGAATGGCTGAATTCTTCAAAAACCTGATATATGCATGTGCTACATGAGAAACTTCCTGGGAAAATGGAATGTGCACATATGTGTTCATCCCAGAAAGGGATCCCGTCACTGACCAAAGTAATAATTGCACCCATGTCCAACTTGATGAATCAATGAGTTTTTATTGGGGGTTCCTAGTAAATAGGCCAAACAATGAGGAGTTTCTTATACAGGAATAAGGATGCCTCAAAAGCAGTCCAACACGGAACAGCCCATTGCAGGTGATATCTAAGAGATCTCAAACCCTAGAACTCTTTACGAAGCTTGCAGACAGCCGGACAGTCCAGGAGTCTCTGTCAGTAACTCTGCTGACAATGCCATTCGGCAGCTCATCTTCATTCTTGTAAAGCTGGAGGCAGGGCTTAGAGACTCACCATCCAAACTCCTGCTTCCCTAGACCGGAAGTTTTGTTTACCTCCGAGTCTCATGTGCTGCCCTCTTCTTTCAGGAGCATGCTTCATGGGTGCTGCTGAAAAGCAGCATGTATGTGCATGTCTGCACATCTATACACACATACCTAATGACATTCTAATTGAACTCCTTTCCCCCACAGTGTGGCTAATAGTGAATTCATGTGCAAGTGCAGAGAGCTTTCACCAATTCTTGTGAAATTGTCATAGAAGCATAAACCAGGATAATTACACAAGAGGAGGGGGAGAAAAGTGGAATCAGAGTGGAAAAAGGTCAAACTGTCTGTATTTGCAGATAACAGAATTTTGATTATAGAAGAGCCTAAGGAACCAATCAAAAATCAATAAAGCTGATAAACAAGTTGGCAAGGTCAAAGGATCTATGATCAGTCTCTAGAAGATACCTGGGTTTCTATTTGATAGCAATGAATAATCCCAAAGGAAAACACAGGAAAAAGCTCCATGTATCTCAGCATCAAAAACGAAAAAAAAGTTATTAGATCTCAGCGTGATCTTGGTGTCATAGTAGTGTAGACTTCCTGAGACAAGAGGAATGTTCTTCCTTTTACATTCTATGGGGTAACTAGGGGAGTACAGTATATGGTGTTAGCTCTTCATGGAAGGTCTGGTAGAAATAACTTCACCAAAGAAGGAAAAGACATTCTCTCTAAAACTTGAGAATATTATTTTAAAAAATTAATAGGTAAACAGAATAGATTTTCATGTTCTTGGATTTAAAGACTTTATTTATCCTGCTGCTATATCAGTGTGTCTCCTCAAACCAGTATAAATAATCCCCATCAAATTCTAAACTGAATTTTTGCAAAAAAACAATAAACAGCTTGTAAGATTTATATGAAATGAAGGAAGTGAAGATACCCCTTCCATAAGCAGAGTCTGAAAGCAGACTCGAGAAGACACATTTCCATGGCAAAAGTTACTGTAGTCTGTAAGGCATGGGGTATTGGCATGTACATAAGCAATAGAAAACAATTGAGAGTCCAGACATTAGCCTACTGCATTTATACTCAGTCAATTTTCTGCAAGGATGCTAAGAAAATCCAATGAGATGAAATAATGACCTTTCAACAATTGATGTTGACACAACCACAATTCATGTGGATAAAAACCAGCAACATGAAAATTAAGTCAAAAGAATCAAGGACTTTTACATGAGGATTAAAATACAAAACTCTTGTAAGGAATGAAGAAAATCTTCACCTCAGTCAGTGGTTCACAGATGCTTCACCTACCTCACAAACAACCAGAGGATAAATGAGATAAATTGTAGTTCATTTGTGTGAAAGCTTTGCTTCAGAAAATGAATAGCAAGAAGAGAAGATGGTAATTCCACTAATAGGACAAACCACGTGCATATCATATCTGATACATGATGAAGTCTACTATCCAGAATATACAAAGAATTTATAATTCACCAATAAAAGAATAAGTAGCCCAATTTTGAATGAGCAGAAAGTTTGGATTTCTTTTGAAATATTCATGATCAGTAATCATCAAAAGATGTCCACCATCATTTGTCATTAAGGAAGCAGTGTGTGGCAGAAGCATCACGTCCTGTTCACTAGGATAGCTGCGATCAGGACACAGGAGCGTTGGAAGGGTGTAGAGAAACTGCAGCTCATGTTGCTGGAAGAAATGATGAAAATGCTGCAGTTCTTGAGAAAGCTGTCCCCTAGACCTCAGAAAGTTCAACATGGCGTTACCAAGTGTCCAGCCCATGTCTCAGCCATCCCATTCCTGGGCATATATGCCCAAGGGAACTGAAAAATGTATGTTTACACAAACACTTCCAAGTGAGCATTGTTTATAATAAGTCAAAAAAAGTGGAAACTACCCATTGGTTAATGACAGTGTAGGCAAAATGTGGTGTGCTCCAAAAGTGATTCATTTTTCAGCCATAAGAAGAAATGGCACTGATGTGTGCTTCTATACAGATCAACTGAGACCTTATCTTCAGTGTGGATCCTTTAGCCAAGAGAGGCCCAGGCTGTGTGATATATTTATGTGGAGTATTTACAATGGGCAGATATAGAGAAATAGAGTAGTGAGCACAAGCAGGACAGGAAGAGTGGAACGTGATGGTGACATGCTGTGGGCTTCCTGATGAAGGCGTTCTGGGACTGAGCAGTGTGTGAGGAGTCAAGGAAACATGAAGAAGTAGAGGGCGTATAACTGAGTCTGATCTCAGGGACCTAAGATTTGTTGCGATCTGTGTATTAGAGAGTCCGGACCTGGGTACTGAAGCGGAGAAGCAAGCCATTTAAAGAAAAATGTGATTTCATGTATCTAGAAAACATTAATGGAGACAAAGAAAACTTGTCTACAGATCTGGGCTACCCAATGAAAATAGTAATTTTATAAGCATGTGTGGAATAAGAACAATAAATCAAATGTGAAAATTAAAACTTAGATCTTTATGGCTTAGAGTTAAAAGCTTAAAATTCATAAACTATAATGTTAACAACTCAGAAAGCAATTTTAGTTACAAAACCTGCATCGATATACTTACCTCTTCCAACAGTGGCTCGCTAGCCCTGATTTCCCAGAGCTCTGCTATGTGAATGAGGAGAGAGTAGGATGTTATAGTGGTGCATTGTTGTTTTGCATGTTTGGAAAAGCATCTAGAAATATTTTACAACACAATAAAGGTATATTATAAAGTTAAATATTAATATTCTAGTTGTATTGCCACATGATCCAAAAATTGGTAATTTAACGTTGCTATGTGGGTTTTTGCTCATTTTTTTCTCCGCTATTCGCCTTCCAGTTGGAGAGTCATCCTCAGGAAGGGCCTCGAGGAGCCTTGCCCAGCACATCCCGGGTCCCGGTGGCATTGAAGGTGTGAAAGGAGCTGCCTCTGGAGTTGTGGGTGAATTAGCCCGAGCCAGGTTGGCTTTGGATGAAAGAGGGCAGAAGCTTGGTGACTTGGAAGAGAGAACTGCAGCTATGTTATCCAGTGCAGATTCATTTTCTAAACACGCTCATGAGGTATGTCTGACATGCAGACAGTCACCCGAAGAACTAGAAAAGGATAATATAAAAATGACTACATATTGCATATTTTGTTATTTTTACAAGCATGTATTTTGTAAATTTGCAAGTTCCAATTTTTACCACAAGAGGGAACCCTTAAAAGAATAAGCCAGTGCTTTCTGACTCCTGAAATCTGTACATTTTTGAAGGAAGATGCCCATTTAGGACCTTCATAAGCAATACAGAAGATATGCAGCTGTTGTCAGTGACCTCAATAAAAATGTTAACCTTCCTTAACTCGCCAGAGCCTGCAACCATCTTGACCTAAGAAGAAAATCAGTTGTCTCCTGGGTTCTTCCAGGTAGCTCTAAATATCTAAAAATTAGTTAGCATGTTGTATCTGTGTGTGTTGTAGGCTAATGCTCATGGAGAGGTAGGGGCACAGCCTTCATAGTGCACTCATTGACCTCAGAAACAGATGCCATAAAGTGTAGGGATCTCTAAATGATGCTCGCACAACTATATTTTGTTGGCTGAGACAGGGCTTTATGAAAAGTTAACGTATGAGTTGCAGAGATGACTCAGCAGGTAAGAGTACTTACTGCTCTTGCAAAGGACCTGTGCTTGGTTCCCAGAACCCACATGGCAGCTCACAGCCATCTGCTAACTCCACTTCTGGAAAACCTCATTCCCTTCTCTGGCCTGCTTGCAGCATAAGGTTGTTCACATAGAAAAATGCAGGCAAAAACCTCATGTGTGTGAAATAAAAAGAAATTTTTAATGTTTTTATGGGCTTCAAAACGAGTGTGTAAAGTGCACATTATTTTTGCATGTGTGTGTCACTCTTGGACTTCACACTTTGGACTGCTGACATCTCATTTCAGCTTCCTAGACTGGCCTTCTAGGGTGTCTTAGATACTTGCCCAGTGAACAGTATCAACATTATTTCTATCTTGGATTATCTAGTCTTTATAATACTAGCATTCCTTTAGTTTTTCAACCAATAGCCCTCTCTTCTTGGCTCACGTTGCATGAAGGACATAATTTAACCTGGACGATCTGTCTAGAGCATCTGCGGGAGTCCTGGGTGCCCATGAGCACCTCCAGTGTGAGCCAATAGCCTTCAGCAAAGAGCAGGGTTTGCTGCCACAATACAAACAGCTCTGTCACTTTCACAGTATCTTTACATCCCAAGCCACGGGAGCAGGGGTGCCTTTCCCTTCTGTAGGTGCAGGTTTTAGACATAATTGAGAGTCTAATGAGAACAGTGCATTGAGGTGAGATCCGAGACTCTTGAATTCAGATAATCAGGCCCAAAGCCCAGACTCAGTGTTCTCTTAACCTTGAGTAAAACCTGAAACCGTGGGGAATTTTTTTATTGAGAAACTGAGGAAATAATACAAACCCCAAGAATTGTAAAATCAATTGAAATCAAGTAAGAAGAGTGTGTCATTTGTTGTCTGGCACACAGCGAGGGCTTAGGAAATTTGACACGGAAGTACTTTTTCCAGCCTTTCTTTCCCCGATTCTTTATAAAGTGTTACTTTTATTTCTAATTAGAGACATGGCAGTTGCCTTATTTTTAAGTTATTCACTAAAGCAACAAACTATTTCACACATCAAAAAAATTATGATACGTATTAGAAACTTGAGCATATTCTAGGATAGTTTTTTTTTAGTAAATATAGCTATTTTTAATCTAAATAGAATAATTCTTGCTAGTTTAAATAAATTGAAATAAGCAGGGTATAATATCAGTCTGGAATGTTTCAAGGTAGTATGCTTTATAGACACCAATTATAAATACTTTTCTGGAAACATGAAAACATATTTTTCTTGATTTTTTTCCCCTCCTTTAGATGATGCTGAAATACAAAGATAAGAAGTGGTACCAGTTCTGACAACCAGAGTCTAATAAAACTAACTTCAGCCAGAAGGAGGAGGCAGTTTCCTTGTTGCAGTCACTGGTGTACTGGGGAAAGAACACAAGCCGGAAGCGCGTTGCTGAAAACCGTCCCCTCCCAGCACAGTCATGCACTATCTTACCTCAGTCTCACGGTTCCCTGAGAACTCCCGCGTGCAGACTGCAGCATATGGCCTGTGCTGGCTGTGAGATGACAACGGAGAGCTTAGCGGGGTCCCATTCTCGGATGGAACATCCAAAGGGATGTGGAGAAGTCCTTGGATCATTCCTGTATTAAACTTTCATATGCCAAAAGATTTTGTGCCGTGGTATCTGCCATCAGTGTTTTATCCGACGTGGGGAGAGGCAATAAATGAGAAGTTCTGAGTCTGAAGTGGTCATACTTGTGTCGGGACTGAATTGTGCACAGCTGTCTGGACTCGCCCTCTCTCAGGCAGACTGGCCGTCAGTATCATTAGTGAGAAACAACAAACTGTCCCCTTACCTTTAGACTGTGCTGAATGGTGGCTTTCAGTAATCTAAGCATACACACGCTTGTGTATGGGATCCTCTTCGGTTCTCGTTACTGTATATTTGTGTTCCGTTCCTCTGTTTTCAGAAGCAAACAAGGTGATCTGTCACTTTTCATGGAAAAGTGTAACGCAGGACTAATCGCTCACCTTCTGAGAGTTTCCATGTAGTGGCCATGCGACGTGGAAAGTCAGAACCCTCAATTGCAGTGAGGAGAGTCCTTCAGTGTCCTTTGTCGGCGTTCACATTAATTCAGCGACAGGTAGATTTGACCAAAAGAGTTACTGTTTAAATTTGTAGAAAAGTTGAAATTGGCTACGTTTTTAATTTTGCTTGAATTTTTACAAAATGTTCAACCAAATGTACCCTTGCATTATTTAATTAAAATTGCTAAAACAACAATGTTTCCTCATTTCAGTAAAGTGCTCAGCTCCCCTTTTAAACTGTCCTGTATTTGCTAACAGTTCCGGTCCACTCAGGTGATGAGCCAGTTAAATCTTAGTGCACATAGCTGCTGCATGTAAGACTGCAAGCCTCTTTTGTCAGTCATTGTCCAAGAGTCTAGTCTAATGACCTACAAAATATCTCCTGTAGAAATACATTGCAAATCTGTACATATCCTTTGGAAATACTAAAAGCAAAAAGGAAAGGAAAGTATGATCACTGGAGTAACATGAGGGGAGCTGTGTATTAAGTGGTAGACGCCGGTCGGTTCCTACAGTCGCATTGCAGCCTAGGAAGGAAGACGCCTGTTATACACAGTTGGAGGATATAATTGTTAAAGCTACAAAGGAAGAAGTGAAGTGGGAGCGTGGTGTTTATATATTGTCTTCTATGAAAGTCTGCACTGAGTCATTGTCCTGAAATAAGCAGGGCTCGAACTGATGGGCGCCTGCATGTCCTCTCCTCCATGTGATGTGTGAAGGTCCCTGTGAGACATCTTCAGTTCCGCAGCCTGTCACTCACCTGTTCCTCTTTCGCTAAGAATTCTTTTGTTTACATTTTATAATGTGCACTACTGGATATGAAAGTTTACATCAAAGCTTATTTTAAATAGCATCAAGTAAGGATTAGATATATGTGGTAGAGAACTGATCAAGACAAAATGTTTTATAACTGCAATCATTTTTAAAATTTTGTCAATCTGTAGAAGGTGAATAATATTTCTGTTTCATGTCTATGCTCTGAGCATTTGGCAGCTTACAAATTGCTTAATTTGCATTATACATTATCCACTAATCCCATGTCCCATGATACCTCATAGGAAGAGTTGTGTCCTTTTTAAAGGGTGCAGTTTTATGAATACCAATAGTGGGGACTTTCCAAGGGTGAAAAAGTACTAACGTAGCCTAAGACACTGCTTGACTCTGTGTGGAGCCTCGCCTATTTATCTGTTGCATTATTTGTGTATCGAATTCCTTTCTATAGTCATTTTAACGGATGTAAATAAAATGAATCAAAGTTGTAATTATTTATTAGTAGAGAAGTAGATGTGTTTACCTGAGATGGATTTTATAAGATCATCCGAATGCGTTATTTTAAGTCATTCGTTTCTTATTTTAATTAATCTACATATTGTGCACAACAACCTAAGAGACTACATTAGAGAGTACAAAGTATTTTTGAATAGAGAAAATGATCTTCCCAAGCTGTGCTTGATTCTGTAAATAAACCAGTCTGCAGTACCAACCCAGGGCACTGACTGCTGCAGCCTGAGACAGCCTGCCTCCCCCAACCCACTCCTGTCTTTTTTTTTTTTTTTTTTTTGATGCAAAAAGAAGTAGTCACCAGCAAGCCAAAGTTTCAGGAATTCTAACAGCAACAACAAGAAGTCAAAATAAAAAAAAATATCAGAAAATGAAAATGTGTGTGCACATGCATGTGTGCTATGTGTGTCTTCTCTGCGCCCTCAGCACTGATCACATTTGTCTTTGATTCTAAAATTCAAGTATTCTGCAATTAACATTATTAACAGGAAGAGATTTCTCTGTATGTACCACATACCCAGTTCATTTCATCTTCAAACTAAAATCAGTCTGTGTTTGCTTAGAATACTGTTCTTTAAAGTATTTCATTCTGTCAAAATCTTTATCTCTGTTTGAAATATGGCATCACCTTAACATTCACTCACATTCCAGACAGACTGTGTTTCAAAAAAATTGATTATGGATTTTAAAAACAAAACCTGTTCCTCTAGATTTGAGGTTTTCATGGAAAAATACTTGCTATGTCCACCTGTCATTCTGTGCGAGTAGACTGCAGAGTTATCAGGACATTTCTTAAAGAAGCATCTACTGAAATCTTAGCGCAGGTAGATGTCAAGTGTGCAAAACAAGCCTGAAGTGTGCAGATGTTTAGGATGAGGCAATGCCGGGAGACAGCCGAGGACTGGGGGATTCGTTCCACGTTTATCCTGAGTTCTGTATTCGAATCTGCTTTGCCCAAGGGTTTCGCATGTGACATTAGTAAAGCAATCTCCAAAGGGAACATTTTTTTTTTGTGGCAAAGATTTATTTTAATGGGGGATTTTGTTTATTTGTTTCTGCAAAATAAAGAGCACTGAACTTTAAACTTGAATATTTTTCTGCACTTTTTTAGATAATGACTTTTTATTTGTCATTTAATCTGCATTTTCGGTTTAAATCAAATGATATATGTGTGTATGAAACATACCAAAATCATGACTATGCTGCTAGCTGCACCTGAAACCTATCAGTTTCAAAACCTTTAATAGGGTTTTATATAGCTTTTGAAGATTAAAAACAAATGAAATTATTTGCTGTACATTTTGGTGTTCTTGGTTTTTGTTGCGACATTATCAGAGCTGTTTTCCGATCACACAGTCACGCGTCATCTTTATACACTGCTAGAGAAAGTACTTTTAGTTTTAAATAAGTTTTTATAAATGTTTTCTTTAATTTTAAAAATGATGAACTTGTTAAATCAAAGTACTTAAAAAGTATGCATATTATCCATACAAGAAGTTATGTTTTACACTTACAATAAGAAATACTGATATCTCCTATAGAGATACAATTAAGTTTTAAAAGTCATGCAGCGTTGACAAGTCTTCATACATGACAAGATACAGTTAAATAATTTCTTTTAAAAAAAAGACTGCTGAATATTTTCAAATACTGATTTTATTTTTGAGGGAAAATGTTCACAACAATAATTTCTATAACTTTATCTGTAGTTTCAGCTTGCTGTTGGTTGCCTAACTTAGCTATTGTTTTAATATATATATTGAAAATGATTATCCAGATATTTTCTTCTACCTTTTTTAAAAATAAATTTCCAAAAATAGGAACAGAGCTTATGTATTTTTGTCAATGAAGGCTTTTTATTTTGTGGTTTATAGAATTTGTTCTTTATCAGTTTAATATCTCTAGGCTTTTTATCTCTATCTTGAAAAGAATATGCCTATGTAGTTGGTGTCCCTTCTCGTTTTCTGTTTTGTCCTTTTTTCCCAGTGTTTGTTCTGGGTTGAGATTTATGCCCACGTGTGCTTCTGATTTGGAAATGAGTACAGGGTTGCTGGGGTTTGCAGCGGCTCTCTCCTCGGGGTCTGCTTGCACAGTGCCATGGGCATCCCCGCTGTCTGCCTCAGATGCTGTGAAGGTTCTGTGGACAGAAAACAGTTGTTTCAGCTGGTGGGGAAAACTAGAGCTGAGCTTTCCTGAGGAAGTAAATAGTTTTAGTAACTTCCCAGTTATGGGTCTTAAATTACCGACCGGTTCATTCTTGAATTAGATGCCATCACCAGAGCTGCTTAGGAGATGTCCTGTGTCTGTTTCTCAGAGGAAGCATGAATGTTCTTTGCCAATATTTTTCAGCGAGACACGTCGTTTAAAGTTAATTTTTTTCATCTGTAAGATGTGACTAAATAGTGTCAATTCATTCACTGTAGGTCATTTGACTCAGGCATTTAAAAACAGGTGTAGGTTAATTGCTGTGAAGTTCTATTTATGTAATTGTGGGGTTTGATGTTTTGGGGTTTTTTAAATATCATTTGTATTTTATCTAAACCTTGCTTCAATTAAAGACAATGTAATGAGTTTCAAACAAACTTAACATGTCAATGGAAATAGCGTAAAGATGAGAAATAGTGACTTGATTTCTGTGTGTCTGTGAATAGTAACGGGATACTTTAGATGTGTCCTCTGCTCAACCTGGAAGCTAGAACTGGGGTGGGGGGCTTTCTAGTTACACCATTGGTTCATTGTAAATGTGTTTTCAAAGAAAAAGTATTTTAGAAGACAGATTTAGTTTCCTAGCATCGTCCACACCGAGGACGAGCATGTTTGGTCCAGAGTGCTCGCCTATGTGTAAACACCGTGTGTGCTGTCCAGCTGATGCATCCTCTCTTTATGTCTGCTCAGTCCAGCAACTCGAAGATAATCACTAGAATATGCTTTCCAAGTATTTTTAATTATCTATGTATTGTTTCGTTTTTTAAGTAGCACTATCGCCAATGCTAAAAATGTCTTGAAAGTTTGTAGCTATTTGCATTCCTGTGACTTAATAGAAAAAAAGAACTTGTCATCACAGCCAAAACGTTCAAATTTAAATAATGAAATATTTTTTGTAAATAAATACCATTATGCTGGTATTTTAAGAATGTATTACAAATTAATTTTTCTGGAAAATGTTCATATATATGTATATGAATTCTGCTGAAGGGCTCTGGTTGGGCAAAATAAAATACTCAAATCTCTCCTGAAACCAAAAAAAAAAGCCCCTTTTTCTGGGAATTTATTTTAATATTTTTTCGCATTGTGGAATTAACACATTAGTTGGAGAAAAATAAACCTATAAAATAGATTGTCACGTTTCCAAAGATAAGCTTATAGGTA